TTCTCACGTGGACGTATGAACGTGTGAGCAGCTGAAAAGCGGTATGGACTTACGATGGTGCAGATCGGAGAATATTGGCCATCGCAAAGGACATAGCTTGAGGGTTTCATTGGTTGGTTCCGTTAGCCGACCCTGCTAATTTATTATTGGCACCATTATCGTGTGCGGTTGGTCCTGATTGAGCACCGCTCGTCAATGCCAGCGAATGCCAGGAACAACAAGAACGACGGACAATGACAATGGACAACGACACGTATGCTATCATCGCATCGGGTGTGTTGTTTAATTAAATTTCTGAAATTAAAATGTTTTGTTTATATAAATTGAAAAATACAGACAGAAACACATGCACAATTCGCTTCAAGAACGACCAAAGGAACAAAAACGACGAGCTTCAACTCGCAGCATCTCCACGTCGATACCTGCATGCCCTTTGCCGTCTGAATCTGCGTCCTTTTGCTTTTCACAACTGTCTTTTTATACATATAACGCTTTATATGTTGTTCGCTAGAAATGATTTCCCACCAGGCGACAGAGTGCCCACAAAGTTGTGCTCGATTATCCTTCCTTAACTCTACAGCCGCCAAAAAGGATTTGAGATCATCGACGGGGCGAATCGGTGGAAGAGTATTTTCTGTTGAATGGCAGTTGTCTGGGAATCCCCATTCCGATGGACAGGTGGCCATTGGCACCATTGTTCGGCGCTCAAATCGCTGCTGATGGAACACATTCAACCTAAAGCCCCATTCCGCTGGGCGTTTTTCAATTGGGCAGGCTACAAGTCAGTCATCCAGCGTTTGAACCGTATTTATGCATATACGAGCTCCGCGAACGTACTCATACGTAGGGCAACCATATCAGTGCCTCCGTCTGTGTCTGTGTCCGTTTCCGTGTGTGCTTACACAAGAACTGTCGCTGGCTTTTCAATTTGATTCATTTAATTTCAATTCTGCTTTCTTTGCATTGTTCGAATACGGCAGGAGCCTCGATCAACCGAACTCTCCGTGTCGCCCTACACTGTTTAGTGGGGTAAGCTCGAACCCAAATTGAAAATGCAAAATCGACTGAAGTGTGTCAGTAGTAAGAGCTTGTTCTAATAGTTTGCGTATGAATTTTGTTAGGGATTTAGTTAAAAGAGAATCGAGGGACACATCCAATTAATACGAATTACTTGGGATTCTGTCTGTCTTATGTTATGTAAAGGTTGAAATCTCGGGACCTAAGTTCAAATCTTTAATGAACTACACTCAAAAACCTAATACATTTCACCTATCAGCTGTAAAGCACTTAGTTGTGAAATGCCTTTTCTTCTTTATCTGGCTTCTGAACACAGTTGTCATCTTGTCGAACCGAAAATGCCTCATCTGGTAATGTTAGCTCCCACATATACCCTCGAGATAACCAAATTCTCATAGTTCCTTTATCTGCACAAGAAATTTTGATACGAGAAAGCATTTGTTTTTTTATCTGAAAAACCTGCAAGAGTATTTAAGGTATTCGGCTTGCCGAAGTTAGCTTCCGTACTCGATTTTAGTTGTATTTCTTCTCATATATTCTATGAAAAATTTCCACGCCCGCACTCTAAATTATATATAAGTCGATTTTACTTGAGCCAAAGGGCATAGAAGATTTACGTATTGTTTAACATATAAAGGGATAGCAAATATAACCAGGGCAGTAACTAAGTCTGGTCCCGTTCAAAGCCAATGCCCTACGCGTGCCCAATGAACAGTGGGCGAAAGCGAAAAGGTGGATTTATGGCATCGTAAATCATGAGCAATATTGTCATATTCTAGTATTTCCTGGTCACCACTGGCGACGTCTCCATGGTTGAACATTTTTTTGCCGGCTAAGGTCAGCGTTACCAGGACCAGGTAGGGTAAGAATTTCGCCAAATATCCGGTCATTGTTTGTTATGGACCCTAAATCATTAGGTCACATCTTCCCGATTATTGCCTTTTTTTGACCAGATACGTCCTTTCGTTTTTATTTGATATGTAGAACATAAAAAAACGATTTGTATGTTAAAATAACATGATTCTAGTTTCGAAAATTTATTTATTATTGTTATGAAATATCATATATACCATAATACCATATTTGATTAAAATTTTCAAAATTCAAATAAGTCAGATAAAATAACTTATAAATGTATTTTTTGATATAGACGGTATTGTAATTTCCGACTCTATAAAGTATATATGTTTTTGATCAGCATCACCAGGAACCTCATCCGTTCCTATGCAAACTGGTCTCTCAGTTTTAAAGTTATTTGGAAACTTGCCGAAAATTCTTATTTCTATGTTAAGTCGAACCGGTCGGATCGGACAACTCATTTACATAGTTGCCAAAGAAAAAATTTAATAACTTAATTGTGCAAAAATTATATCTTCTTTTTTTTTGACGCGCACTCTTATACTCCGAGATAAAGTCATTAATTTTATTTAAATGATGATGAAAACTAGTAATAATAATCGAAAAAAAACTTCGTTGCTTTCCAATAAATCCAGAAATCTAGAAATCGAGATCTAGAAATTTGTGTCGATTTAAAAAATACATTTTTAGTTTTATTCTAATTGAACGGCTATATCATGTAGCTGTCATGGAAACAATCGAAAAAGTTATTTGAATATCGACAACTTCATATTTGTACAAGATCGATTCTAATATGGTCGTTTTCAAGAATATTTCATTTTTATTATACCTGAAAGGGTATACAAACTTTGGCTAGTCTGTGCTGTGTATATGCAACAGTTTGAATGAGGCCGGTGTGCTGTCTAGGTGGATACCAACGTCGGGAAACTCCTGTCACCACCAAAGAAGCAGGCTGAGTATTTGGTTGCACATTGGACTTCATAGTTGAGTCCGATGGCGTTGGCTGCAGTACAAAACCATTAATTTCGGGTTGAGCTAGCTCAGGATCGTCTAACATGATACATCAATTCTGACCAGTGCGCAGTGCCCCGAAAAAGTCTGCAGGTTTCTGCACGGGAGAGCCTTTAACTATCTGGTTACAGTAAGCTTTTTCCTTCTTTTTAAGGCATTTTAAGGCTTCTGGAAATTGTGTTAATGCAAAGGGCGATTGATAACTGAAAGCATGTGTGGAATCATTATTGCTAATTGACACGTTTCAATAGATTTCGAGAAACAGGAGTGGAAAACGAAGCCACTGAGATTGTACGATTCCTTTCTAGACATCTGTGGGGCTCGTTGGACACTGGAATGGGTCAATGTATGCTTACTCTAACAAGTGGGTGAGCAAGACCTCATGCATAAAACACGGTAACAACAGCCACAAAAGCTTGAACAAATTAATTTTCGATACCTGATTAAGCACAACTCATTTGTTCATTTGATCGGTGGGTCCTCCTTATACCCTTAGATCCTGGTGTAAATATATGCGACAGTAGATGAGCTTGTGATGGGGGATGTTGAGGCAACAAACACGAGTAGCACCAGCAGCAACCCTTGAAGCGAATCGAATGGAGAGAAAAATAAATGAATCCATTCTTTTATTAGCAACTTAACTAAGCCAAAACACAAACTGTTTGATGACAGCAAGAGCGACAGTTGCTAAACAACCGAGGGTCCTGAGCAGGAACTAAACCAATATGTAGGTAAGCCAAGAAATGGCCGGATCCTGAAGATTGTCAGTGGCGTCGCTAATCAACCCTTGTCAGTCAATCATAGTTGAACAACGCGTGTCCGCTCTTCGAGGCGCCTTCAACAAACATCAAAATATTTAATTCGCTTCGAATTATCCCATTTTGACAAAGGTGCAAGCTCTTATGAAACATGTTGGCCTATTTCAGGACTCAAGAAGCAGAAACAAAAATTATTTAATTCCGTCGACATTCCATTGGTAGTAAAAGAAACTCTCTTACAGTCTGTAAAGAAATCAAAAATGCTGGCCCTCCCCTTGCTGGTGGCCTTCCAAAGTCAATACCGGTGCCGATGCCGATGGCGATGGTAATGCGGTGGTGAGATGCCGAACTGATGACGTCTGTGATGAGGATAAAACTGTGTTCAATTGCCGGGAAACTCTTCGGTTTCCGACTCACTGCTGTCCAAACATGCACACGGACGGAGAACACATCTGCTGGGCCACATATCAACCTTGATTGGATGTAACCAGAGTGTTGGTAGACAAACTCGTAGATGTCAGGCCAGTGCCAGAGTTGGAGCTACTGAAAAAGCGTTTGAATCGGGATAAAGAGGTCGGCCGCAGTTAGTAGTTGACGTCAGGGAACTACAATGCGAGACCTATACACTTCCTGTGACAATCAGGAAGACCGCTCTGAAAGAAGGTTATACTGGACAACCACAAAGTGCCTTTGGACATCGTCCCAAATTTCCGTTCTTTTAAATCCAGTTTGCTGTATGTATATGCTTATGCATATGCATACTCGTGGGGAAATACATTCAAGGCGTGCAGTGATTCAAAACCTCTTTCAATCCAGCATGCAGATAAGCTGTCCGCACACACCCGTTAATTCCGTTATACAAATGTCACTCGTCAAGCAAGTCCGGCTGCCATCAAACGCATGTCAATCACCGAGGCAGACATTGCATTCACGTCCAAATAACCACCTAGAACCATGGCCGCATGGGCGAAGCTTCTTTTAACTCAATTATCAAGTAGAAACGAGAAACGAGAACGGAAGCTTACTTCGGCAACCCGACTGTCCATGTGTTTTAAAAGCTTTCGATGTTATATTTTTATAATCCTGGAGATCAAACGTCTATATCCAATAGGTAAATCCGTAGAAACGATCGGACACAATTTAGTTGATCTTGAAGAAATTTGTGCACAGTTAACCTACAGTTTTTCGAATTTCGATGTTTCATTTACGGACAGACAGACGGACTTGATCCTGATCAAGAGTATATATACTTTATATCACATACTTTTCAAAGATATTATATTCTTTTATTTTGCGATTAAGTGTGATTATAGCAAAGTATTGGCACCATATTTTTCAAATAATACACATTTTTAGCCAGTTTTGTACTCTATATATTATTGGTAATTTATTAAATTTTCATTTACAGTAGTTGGAGACCGAACGATTTATTTAAATATTCATATGCTTATAAGGTTTAAATTTCGGTTCAATGACGTGGGGGTTATTTTATTGGCTGACAGTCGATTATAAAACAAAAAGGCCATCGTTAAATCTATTTAAAATTGTTAAGTTATTGATACATTTGTGTTTGCCCACTTTATTGGTTAAAGGCAGCAGTTAACTAAGTTGTTGCTCGCTGTTATTCTCATTTAAACGTTTGGATACTTGCACTAATTTTGGATCAAGAACAAAGTTTTACGTATAAGTGTGTATTTCTATATATTAAGTTATGCATGTATTGATTTTCTGGTACATACGGTATTGTTTTTAAACTAAAGATGCCATGTCTGCATTTGATTCCTATTTTTTTAAACCGACTTATCCTTTAAAATTATAAATTTGAGAGGAATCAACAATGTATCCAGTGTTAAAAAAGTCTTAAAAATAAACTGCAATTAAATATGATTTTCAGTTTTCGACTAGATTGATTAATTTGGTATTTTATAGATTCAGTGTTCTTTCATTACCTAAACGGATTTGATGAAATATGGATAAGTGAAGTTGTAGTGTACATTTGTATAAACCTAATTTTGAATTCAAGTTTTTTCGGTTTATCTGGATATTAATTGTTTTTGTGTCTTTTATATACTATTTTGTCAGAATAGAAGTTAATAATGAGTTAGTATACTATGTGTCTCAGAGATAGTGTTAGAAGATGCCAAGAAATTTAAAACATTTTAAATTATATCAGATTTATTATTTAATCATGTGCATCCTTTCTCTGATTGGCAATAAGTTTAGCAATTAGTGTCTTAGATATCTTATTGGTTATAGTCTTTCAACATTCAAAAACTACAAATCAATAGTAAGTGTTCACCTTCGATGTTGCCCATGTTTGGATTCTAAAGAATATAACTTAACCTATGTTTAAATCAGTTGCCTTAAGTATTCATTCAATTGCAAATGGAATAATTGTCCTAAGCGACTAATCCAAACATTTTCATTTTCGTTACATTGCTTACATACGTATATATGCAATAAGTGTGTAAATCTACTTTCATAGTACTTGTTTTTTAATATTTCTTCTTGCTATGGTTTTGATAACATTTTCCCGTTTTGGTCTAGAACATAATAGTAGTACGGGTCTTATCACTGTTTTAACGGGATACAATATAACCCGCAGAAATCTATAAGCATCTACTTATGTTTGCAAGACAGCATTTTTGTTCGGAAGAGAGAGAAATACTTTCCAAAAGTTTTGCAATCTTTTGAATTTGTATTCTTATTTATTTTGTAAATCAAGCTTGCAAATACAGATTGCAACTGTCATACTTATTTTATTTTTTTCGAAAAAAATTTTCAGTTATATTATGAAATAATATGCATTTCAATTGTTAGGCAAATCAACTTAATAACGTGAGGAGTGAACAATTAAAGCCATTCCATAACAAGAGTAGAAAACTCGTTTAATGACTAGCATACTATTATAAATATGTATTTTCCCCCAACGGATTTAAATTTAAAAAGATACCTTATTGTTTTTCTTAGATAAGTATTTCAATAAATATTGAACATTAATTTTCTGGGTCTGGAATATACCGGCATCTAACCTACATATTTAAGATTTTAATTTGAATGTTCCGTATATATTTGTTCTTATGCTTTCTGTACTTTTCTTTCTTTAGTTGACTGAAGTTGATCTATATATGCTTGCATCGTAGAGCCTGTTGTTTTGCATTGCAATAAAAATGATATTTGAGAAATCCCAATGTTATACCTACCTTTTCCCATACGTATTAATATATTTTGTAAAATTTCTTATTTGAAAATCTAATGTAGACACGCATTGTACATGTCCCTTAAAAATTTTTTTTTGTTTTCCTATATAGTCATTGATTATTATCTGCTGCTGCTTCTATATCATAGAATATTTAAGAATGGATAAAATGCAGCTATGCTGGAAGTACTAGTAAAATTTAGTATCACAGTATTTTATATAAGATCAACTTTTTTTGTATTCATCATATGCAGTATTTTTTGCAAATATTACTTAAGTCAATTATATCGTCACATTAGAAGGGTATTTTTAATATAATCGAAAAAAGGGAGAAATCTCACAAGTTGTTGTGTTTCATTTTTAACCATGCCAATATTTTTTTTAGCAGGCGGAGAAAAAATAGTGTTCCTGTATCACTTTGAACTAAACAGAACTTTAAGATTTTTTAAATTACGACATAACTTGAAACATATGAAATGATGACTTTTAAGTTACAATTTCACAGTTCTTATGGCCTTCGGATTTTGTATTTTATTGTGGTTAGTATTTGCAAAATTCTTGCTATTAAATTACCATAGCTTATTCCGGTCCTGATTTTAAAATACGATTTAAGGACTAAAATTATAAAAATAACCAGCAATTCCAAAAATTAAAAACGAAGAAAATTTAATTTAATGTAAGCAATTTAACCGATTCAAAGGAAAAAAAGCAATACTTTTATATCTGAATCAAATTCGAAATAAAAAACATAAAAAAATTGTGTTAAATTGTTACATGAAATAAGCTGTGGTGTTCTAATAAATAGGTGGCCTTAATTAAAAATAATATCTTTACAAAACGGCACTTAAACTTTTTAAGTCGAAAGTATTTTTTTAGTAAAGTCGATTCGCAAAAATTATAAATGAGTGCACGAGACAAGCTATTCTGCTCTAAAGTCTTGCTGTCTTTTTCATTTTTGTGTTTTATGAAACTTTGACGTAATACTTATTTTTCATGACTGAATTTTGAATGAGAATACCAGAATGACTAGTTAATGGTAATTAATCGTACCATTTTTAAGTACAATTCAAATTGAGTTCCAAATACGTTAAATATGAATACTTTTTAGGTCAGTTGGAAGACCAATCTTAAAAATTTAAAAGCTTTTGTATGTTAGCAATTTTCTTGACCATTTAAAATTGCCATACTTTTTAAAACGAGCAACCAGAAGTTGGTCAATTGGAAGAAATCAGGAAGAAGTAAGTTTGATAGAAAATATTAAGATGTACAAACAATTTACCAAAACTAATACAATATATCTGTCTACATAGAAAATGGCGCCTCAAGCCTCGTGATTACATTTGAGTAATTTTTATATGTTTTTATCATGCTATAAAATTGGTAACTAGGCTATTTGTTTGCATGTTATTTATTTCAACTAATATTGTAATTATAAAGAAATCTACATAATTTAATTGATAAAATGTTATAGTAAAAGTATTTTAACCAAGAACACAGTTTTATATTTTGAAAATCGATGAAAGCTTAAGTGTATATACGATCTGAAGAAAAATACGTGAAAACAATGTAGATTTACCTAAAATCTACTTTATGTTTATATTAAGCGTGACTTTATTATAATTATTATGTCGTTGCAAATGACTTTACTTAATAAGATACATTGCTTAATCGATAACAGAATCATGTTTGGGTTTTTCGCATTTATAGATTTTTGCTGTTGCTATATACAGTGTAACTTCTATAACTCCAAAATCCGTAACTCGAAGTCTCTATAAGTCGATGTAGTTTTATCAAGGTTAAATCAATTCTATAAATTGAAAGTTTTTTTGTGGCAGATGTCGTTCCGCGGTTATAAAAGTTAGCCTGTATTTTGTAACTGCCTTGTAACATGATTTCTTCCTATCCCAAACCCAACTCACTTGAAAAATATAGCAGTGTGGTTAAGGCGAGGTCGATTTTATAAACTTAAATAATAAATTGAGTGGTAAACTTAGATGAGTTAGATATTGCTTTAGCCAACTTTAAAATGAATTGATTCAAAAAAAAACGCCATAATACTCCTTTACTCAGTTCCAGCATAAAAACTACATTCTATTCTATAAATATTCTAGAGCCGTTTTGTATATTTCGAGCATTAGCATCTTTGTGCTTGCTGTTGAAATGGGTACCCAAGGTTGGCAGGTTCCCAATCATGTGAAGTTCATATCGCTGTGTTTGCACCCAACATAAATTGCATTCTACATCAGAATTTGTCGTAAATATTATATCATCTAATTCTATTAATTGCTTGCCGTTTCCGTTGTCTTTTATTAAATTAAATAGTAGTGATGAATGCAGTCATTCGGCAAGGCCGAACTCGTCTTGTTCAATGGGTTTCTTAAGCCAGCTTCCAAGGTCCTCGCGTTTGAATGCAGAAAACAATTCTAGCTTCGCCGTCTGCAAAAAAACATTGTATTAATTAATGTTCTTTCGTTGGGAAACCAGTTAACCTTACCTGATAGTCCTTTACGTTTGCTTTGGTTTGCCCATAGTCTGTAGATACTTTGCGGACTAAAATACCTGGTAGGTTTACCATCAAAAATCCATATTTAACAAAAAACGCCTGCTTCGTGATGCGAGACACTTGACCGCCAATCGTTCGACCAGTGAGCGAGTTCACCACCTCCAACTCAGTATCACCAATGGTCCAATTAATCCCAAAGTTTGGTGCCTTGGCCTGGTTTCGCGGTTCTGCCGAAGTGACCAATGCCAGGCGTGGCTTATTCAAATGGTACGGCGGTGGCAGACCTTGAATAGACTTTTCTATTCGGCCGCACACTGCACGGTACATGTGCTCTGGGTGCAACAAACTGCCCAGCACAATCGAATGCAGGTACACTGGTTCAATAATGGAAGACAATAAGGAGCCTTGGATACCTACGATGTTCCAACGTGCAATTTTATCTGAGCACGACATAGTAAGTAAGCGTTGGCCCTGCACAAATTTTATAAAAGTTGTAAATGTTATTGAATGCTTAAATATATATGTCGGCTAATCGGGTTACCTGCAATACGCCATCCCACGTTTGTATTCCATCACTGCTTTTAACTGGAATTGTGCCCTCACCGGACTCGATTTTTGTACGCAATTGGCCACGAGCTTTTCTGTTGATTGATGATTATTTCATGTATGATTCGTCGGCATTATAAAAATGAATATGAAAAGTATAATTATTTGCTTGTTTAAAAGATATTTCAAAACATGCCAAGTCATACTTGTGAAAAAAACAGTATGAATTACTTCAGTTTGGCATTGTCTAAATGGGAAATCCTCACAATTTGAATAATTTCACATTAATTTGTTTAATTCAATTCATTACAAAAGAATTTATAAATTGTGAATAAAATGTAATTGAGGTTCATATGCCTTAGCTAATACAGTTTGCCATTATCGAAAACCATAAAGGAAGTCAATTTCGGAAACCCGAAGTTTATATACCCCTGCAGTTTTAGCTGAAATATATTAGCAAATTTGGATATATTGTTCCTATGACAGCTAAAGAATTATAATCGTCCAATTGTTATATAACCAAAAAGGTTATATTTCGAAATATTAGCTAGTAGACCAGACAGTAATGTATGAATAATAAAAAATCCGTAGGACTTCTAAACTTATTCTGTATGCGCCAACATTTTTAACTGATTTACAGACGGACTTGTATTTTTTTAGTTATACTAATCTCACCAAAAATGTAATATTCTCTGCAAGGGTATGCGAACATGAGTTTACTACTGTGTAACTCAGTACAATATCATAGAAGCTTAAAATAGTTCTTTTGTCTGACGATAGACGACAAGCAGCCTGATTTAAATTTGGGAACTTACATTTGATTGAGTCATCACAGACAGACAGACAGACAGTTTAGGCAAATGTCGAACCAAACCTCATAGATAAATATAAATGTACCATTCTCAATACAAAAAAAATAAGAATAACACCTGAATTATTTTTATACATTCATGCTTGTGTTCATTTTGCTAATTCCACATGTTAAATCCATACAGTTTCGTGCATTATATTCCCAGAAATCATATTGAAAATATGCGAACAAATGTAGTATGCTTCGAATAAAAATAAATTTAACATATACATATTGTCTATACACATTAAAATTTGTAAAACAAATGTCGCATTTTTTTTCAAAACAACTTATGGCACTTGTATTTCCAAGCACGCAGTTGTATACATGTATGTTTTTTTTTTTATTTTGACATAAACATATTTTTCTGCGGTCTTTATTGCATTTCCCGCACAGAAAACATGATTTTTATTGGAAACGTACTAATATAGATAAATTGGATACTACTTGATTTATACAATTTTGAAGTGTAAATAAGTTAAAAAAGGATATTTTTTTAAATTTTAATTATAGCAAGTATTTATAGAATATCTTTTGTACCAACCTATTTGGATGTTTATCAACACCAGTGTCGTTTTCGTGAGGACTAAATATCCGTGCATCCCCACAAGGTGCTGTATTTATATACAAATGGAAATGTACCCCGGATTTTAGTTTATAAGGGTATTGCCCATCAGTATTCCTCACGAAAATCGACTGATATGCTGTGGCTAAATTTAGGAGAAATTGAATAAGAATAATCAAATATAAATTAAAGTAAAACGATTTAGATATATGTTTAAATTTCTTTCTTTTCACCAATACGCACAGGTATGCATGAAAAGAAGTCCAATAAAACAATGCAGAAAAGTTTTTAGTATGCAATTAAAGTGGGAAAGCATAAAGCCAATTTAAAAGTACTACGCACTGATACATATCGCTTTTCTAGTTGAGCTTAGACTCATTTACTTCGAAAGTCAGTTTAATTTACTAACCATAAAGGTTTTTAAACATTCACTGCCGACTTGTATAGCATTTTATTTTGTTTTTTGGAAAGGGTTGCTTTTATTTAAGAAGACTTAAATACTTGTGGCACAGCAATACAAAAAAATATACCCTGATTTAAGCGACATATTCACATATTTCAATAGAAAACGTGTTCAGTGTTGTTTCTGTACAAAGAATAAAATTTAAAATATATGTGAATGCGTTAGAGAAAGAGGCTATTAAAGCCTGTGATACCACAGTAATTGAGTTTAAGAGAACAAAAACTGAGTAACTTATAAAGATACCTTTGCTACTAAAAACCGGCTTTCAATTACGGCTTTTAATAGGTTAAAAATAAATTTACTTAAATATTAGTATAGAAACAAACTAAACGCCAATAAAAAATTCCATAATTTCGTTTTTTAAGCTTAACGTGGAGAAAGTTTACATTTTAAAAGTTTATTTTAAAAATGGCCGTCTTAACATCTACTCAATATGCCCGATCAGAAAAAACATATAAAAGCCATTAAGGGCAATTTGAATGTGCCTATAATTAACAGTTAAGGAACAGAAAATTGTAATGCTTGTGTATGTTTAACTTTCCATTTCGACTGACAACCCGTAAGTTTTAAATATTTACATTTTACAACTAAATTATGCATTTACTTAAGCCTAACTTCTACTTAATTATGCATTTACTTAAGCTTAACTTCTACTTAATTATTAGTAAGTAAATTTATCCTATCATAAGTACAAACAACTATACCCTGATTGCACTGAAGATCCAGCTGTGCATATAAGTACTTGAGAAGACAACGCCTAGAGACTATTTCAGCATGAGAATCGTTTAAGACAGCTCCGTTCACACTCATATGTTCGCCGCTGACACACTTTGTACCCGTTGAAACTGAAATAACCTGGTCAAGTATATTCTTGGTATTATAAGTATTCGCGCAATTCTGTGTTGATTACCGACTTACTTTGGCTTCACAAAAATTCATGTTTTCAGTCATAACAATGCCCGCTAATACCTTTCGACGCGAATAAGCCTCCTGACCTTTTATTACTTCCATGAACTTTTCCAAAACCAGTCGTCCAATTGTATCTGCATGTATTTGCGGCAACTCCATGGATGATGACTTGTCGTCGATTGGAAGGGGTACGTTCTTCTGTGGCACGACCATTGGACTGTAGGAAATGTTGCACAACGATGCAAGCGCCGCTTTAGCTGCCGCATTTTTGGCCAATTTTTTAGAGGGACCTAGAGAAAAGTTAATTTATAAAATTTATTTTAACAGTATAAAGTCGCTACATACCTGTTCCATCAAATTTTTTTTCGTTAATTGTAACAGTCATCTTGAAGCGACAATTATTTTGAGCGCCGTCAATATTAATGCATTCAAAATTAACGTCATTAAATAACTCGTACAGAAGCATTACAGGACCTTTATCTGGAACCTTTTTTTGTCCGTCAACAGCAATAGCACTCTTGCTGACATCTACCAATATAAAATGAAGTTAGTAGAGATAGTTGATTGCTCGTTATTATGAAACTATGTCTTAGTCATCTAAACTTATTTCACACGCAATAGTGTTCTCCAACCATATTAGAAAAAAGCAAGGAAAACAAAAACAGGGAATACAAATGAGTTATGAAAATGTTGTGTTCATATAGAAACATATAAATGCGTACGTACAGCATTGAAATGTCTTAATTTTCTACTCTATGACATAAATGTATACACATGAGATTTAGCAGTTACAAGGCTTGTTAAGACATATTAATACTGAACGAAAATATTTTAAAGGAAAAGGCGAAAATGTTAAAAGAAAAAATAAAAATAAACAAGTCCTTATAGCCCATTTAAACTGAGACTTTTAAATAGCGGTTTCTAGTACTGCTCACTAAAATAGGACCAGTTCAAAAACATTCGCATGCACATAAAAGCTTCAGTCTTAATATGCTATTAAGTAACCTTTAAATTAAAATAAAGGTTAAAGCTCAATATGGTTAAACCCTATGGCACATTTAACAGGGGTATAATTATTTCGATAATTGAATTAGTTCATTTTTAGACTTTATTTTTGACGACTAATCGGCAGGGCAGTGAACAGTCTGTAAGTTGGTATAAACAAATATTATTTGTATTCTAGACTTAACTTTAGGCAAACGATTTAAAGGCCAAGCTCAAGCCATATTTTACACCAGGATTTTAAATCCAATAAAAATTTAAAGTATTCTGTGTTATTTATTTTTAAAATACATCCAAATTTCGAGATCTCGATGTTCATATAGACGAACATACGGACAGACAGACGGGGATAGCTATTGATGATCAGAATATTTTTACAATATTTTTGCTGTAAATGCTCGATATGAATTATATTCATAACCAATTATTAATATACCGCATCAAAGGGATCATGACCTTATTAAGTAAAAACTTGTCTCTATAAGTCTACCAAAGATACACATTAAGCGTTATCGTTTTGTAGATATAAATTTGTATGGTGCTGGATTCAAAAGTTCAAGTTAAAGTCCATAGGGTCACAAAACTCATCCAATTCCATAACAAATTAGATTTAATAATAAATTAAAATATTCAACAAAAGAGGGAAAAAAAAAACACTAATACTTGCTCTGACTCATGCAAAACATTTGAAGACGCAACGTGGGTTGTTCAAGCGAGGTAAGGTTGGATTTCTTTTCAGTCAACATCAACGTCTCAATGATTTCGATCAATTGTTTATTGCTCAAATTTTCAATACCATTTTCAAGATGCTCGTCGCTGGTAAAGTCCAAGTTGCCCGATGGCTTCAATGGCGACAAAACTGCTCCGTCCTTGAATTGTATAAAGCTTCGCAGTGCCGTAGCTGCCGCTTCAATACGCGCGACTTTTTTACTGCGACCCTGGCCCAAGTATTTTTGTCCATCGACCTGTGAATTAAGTGCGAAATTTGTAGTCAAATGAGGCATACATTTCATTCTAATATTTCGAATGATCCTAGTTTCTGGCCAATAAAACAAATGCAAATATCCCACAATGTTAGTGGTTGTTTATTAAATTTTCTTATAACTCTAATATGCAACCCTAACGTTTAGCTGGCATGCTCCTTTTTATGGCTATGGTAGCATGCTTGCTTCTACATATTATATTCCTTTTGATCTATTCATATGCAACTTCGTGAAGCTCGCGTGTAACACTGAACATATCTTTCAAACGACATAAGTCAAGAAAACAAGTTTGATTATTATGTATTTTTTGGGAGTAGCATTGCTTTTATAAAGAAAGTTATTCGTACAGCTAGCATAAATAAATATAAATTTCGAATTGGTTTGCCCAATGGTAATTTATTTGAACAAAAATTCCACCAAGAGAAGCTAGAGTTTTTATATTATCACAGCATAATTCGATATTTGCATCCCGCAACCCAATTAATAAAATGAAGTAAAAGTATATCAAGTATATTAATAATAACTCCAAGATTAATAAAGTTAAGTATCTCACCTCAACGGATATCGTAAATAAAGGTGCGTGCACCGGACCAGTCTGTGACTCCAATTTGTAAATCAGTCCATGTCTTAACTCATTCAGCATTGCCACTGTATTTTTCGGCTGCGGAATGCGCTCCTTGCAGATTTTCTTTTTCGGCGATACTGTTAAAATTTCCGGTTTGAGTTCAATGCAGTACTTAAATATTTCATATAGCTATAATCAAAAGGAGCAAGACCTACCAGCATATTTTGGCATCTCATAGCGCCGTTTTTGTGGCGATTTTCGGTTATAGCCGTTCATGTTGATCTCAGATGGTGCACTCACCGGCTATAGTATATGTATACATTAAGAGTAAATTCAATAGTAGTTAATATTTTGAGGCTTTATATTTTTTGACATTTAAAGAACAGGTACAGTACAACGAAAAGCATTCAAACTTTTTTTCAAGGACCCGTTTTGTGTGTATGCATGTAATTTCGGTACTTATGGTGGGTGCATTTACATTTTTTCCTGCATTAACTGGGTTTATACAGTTTAACATAATTGATTTGTAGAAAGGTTTTCCTTTATTTCATTATTTGAATATATCACTAAAGTTTGTATTTTCTTAGAAAATCCAGTTTTGAACAGATAATATTACATACATACACAAAATGTTTGTTTTAATTTAATATTACGCACAACATCGATACCATATAGACAGTTATAACAAGACGTTTGTAATACAACAGCACAACAATAGGTTTAGTTAAAAAAAATTCTCACATCTGTTGGTCGAAACTATCTAGTCCGATTAAAAAAACTTGTGATTGTATGTTTCTAAGTATATGAAAATCATAAAAAAATATTTATCTTCCAGACCCACAGTGGGAACCAAGCTGTACATTTTTAATAGAGTTTATTAAAATCTACTTACATTGCAAGGCAATGATGGAAACATAACTCGCCGTTTAACAAAAAATTTCGGCCTTTTGCCTGCAAAACTTGTCGCGGCATAAAAATGTTGACGTTGGTTAAAAATTGACGATCTTGCTATACGCATTGCATGGTAGTGGCATGATTTATAGCACGAACGCTCTGGTTTGTAAGAAACTGGATACATTATTTGTTCACTTTTTTACTATTCTCAAAGAAATAAATTTAAGCAAAGAACGGTATGTCGTTCAGGACGATGTAGAACTTAGCGACTGATGAATTTCGAGTTTCCCGGCTAAGCACTGACATTTAACTGACAACGACAAAAGCAAACTGCAGCTAATTTTATAGAAGAAACTACAATTATGAAAAAAAAAATTTTTTAATGTACATACATGTGCAAAAACACAAGTTTGTACGTGTATAGATAATTTGCGCGACTAGCTGCGTATTTTGAAGAGCTCGATATTTATATACCCTTTTAAAGGGAAGACACATGTGGCTGTCCATTTCAATGCAAGGGATTATTCTATTTTGATTCAAGTTTCAAAGCGAAAATCTTTTGTAGAGCCTCATAAATTGAAAACATTGAAAACAGTAAACAAGGTTTTAAATACTTTAAAATCTATTTGGCCTTTTATTTATATATATTGCTTTAGTTCTAAACAATATGTATTGTTAAAATATTTTATATGAAACCTTAAATTGACATTTAGAATTCATTTTATAAAAAAATTGGGAAAACATGCCAGGGACTTTTTGTACTTAGAGGATGGACATATATCACTCATTTTGAAATGTAACAAAAGCACCATGCATGTCGAAAATTGAGATGTTTTGGTGCTGATAAAACATTTGCAGACGGCCAGAAGGCAGATTATGCCGAATTAATGAAGTCAAAATGTCAGAAAGGCATTACCAGCCCAGCAACATGAACGAAATTACATTAAAATTTGGATGCCGGTGGAGCGGTTATTGCTGCAGCAGCTGCAGCACAAACTCAGAGATGCATGAGTTGCATTTGCGTATCAAAACTTGCAGTAATCAACAACATTTTTAAAATAAATATGTTGCGAAAAAGTGTGCGTGTGCAAATACTATGCTCCGGGATATACATTTACAAAATCTGTTTGAAGAAATTGTATTTTTGGTCGATGTTTGGAGGAATTGAAGCCCACAGCCCACAGTCTTCTAGGTATACTATGTGCGCGTAGGCAGGCAAAAAGGACGACTCATAAATCCATTTCTAACAAAATTCAAAACTAAATGGTTAAAAATATAATATAATTTTAAAACATGTTGTCTGTTTATAAAACAAAAAAAATGTTATTTTAAATGGAAACACCCCATGTATATAATGAAGTACATGCATCCGCTTGAGTGGAAAGTTTGCACTTAATATTACAAATTTTGGGAAATTCAATTAGTGGGAAGCAAGATAAGCGGGAAGTGTATAGTGAATAAGGTCAAAATCGAACAAGTGAAACAAACAAAAAGTCGTTAGGCTCGAAAAATTCCCTTAAAATTTTCCTTGTTTTGACCATTTCTAATTCATTGCAATATATTTATAAAACACCGCACCTGTGTGTCGGGTGTCATTCGTCGGACAACTGATGGCGAAAATTGTAAACGTCTAAAATATCAAAATCAGATAGCTCAGATAGTTCATGGGGATGGATTAACCATTTATTTTTCTTTACGAACTTTAATCAGTTATTCTAATTTTAGCAAAAGAAACCCTATTTACAATTCGATATTAAAAGTTAAAAAAGAATGTCTATTAACAAAAGGTCATTGTGATTCCTTAAAACCATTTAAGTTTTAATAAGAAAATTAAAGCACACAACATGTCGAATAAATAAAATGTAGGACGCTTAACATTATCAAACTACCAACAATAAAAGTAATTATGTACTTCCTATTTAAACGTGCTGTAAACATTAAAAAAAATATTTACAAATTACAAATTATTAGCGCTAAGAGTGCCAGCTCTTTTTAAACCATTGCAAAGGCAACAATTAATCGACTGGATAATTTAATAACATTTTTTAAATGACTTAGTTCTAGGAAAATTTATTTATATGCTCACATTCGTAAAAAAACTGAAACAGCTAATTACAGAAAATGTCGATTAAATTAATTGAACATATGTATGTAAATGTAATAACATTTTAATTTAGTATATCAATATTGATGTGCCTGAAAGAAATTGGACTCGACAACTAAATAAACAAATAATTTCAAAGCAAACATATCTTCGCTCGAAAATTTTGGATTATTACATACATATATTTCAGCGTATTCAATTTTCAAAAAAAATGTTAAAGCGATCAGAGGTTAGACCTTATCCAATGTACATATTTATGTTCATTGTTACTTAATAATATACAACAAATTTTTTTTTTAAACCAATCCAAGCATCAAAATGCAATATTTATTAAACTTAGCATGCATGCTGTGCGTGAAGATTCATACAAGTACAAATATACATACACATAAACAAGTCATAGAGAAATCTATTTTTTTAATGACGATTTTCGTCTACTTACATGCTGAGGAGAATTGTTATTTGCGCTGTTTAACATGACTCTGGAATCGAATTTCGCGAATATATTTATATTTTGGTGAAATCGTTTGTGCTATTGTTATGAATATTAAACGAGGGGTGTATGGTTTTAAAATCTTTTTTTTTTTGTGAACGTACGTCGAGCATATTGTGTCCATGTTCCAAGTTAATCGGATCGAAATTAACAAAAAAAAAAAAACAGTTTCAAGCGACCGACCCAATGCATAAATGTTTCAAAACTTTAAAGCGATTTTCGCGTGAACGTCATTTTGAAGTTGATGAAGATTCAAAAAAAGTATGAATATGATATTACCAATATTCCGAAAAGAAACTGCAAACCGATATTAAACTAAAGCAGAAGCCGTTTTCAATAACTTAAAAATATAACTAATTTATAATAAAAATCAAATATACGTACATAAACTAAGCACGAAAGCTACAAATCTAAATTGCATTTGAGCACATATGTATGTATGTATGTATTTACTTTATATTTCACTTTCTATTCTAGTGGCTGGTTTTGGTGGATATTGAGGTGTCCGTGTAAAATTCAGTTTGAACCTACTTCAGCGTAACATAAGGTTTAAACATCAAACTAAACAATAGCAAATGGAAGGCAAAGTCATACAAACTCTTATTGAGGCTGCAAAAAAAAAAACAAATAAAAATGTCAAATAATGCGGCGAATACAATCTTGACTTTTCAAATTAGAAAACTGTTTATATCCGCAAGCATTGGCATGCGTTCATTCACATGCATGTAACATTTAACATACAAATAAGTAATACATATGTTTATTTGTATGTTTAGTTACACGATTCAATCGATTTTCGTTCACTCACGCTCTCTTGGCGAATTGGGACCGCAGTGCGGACTACAGCCATCGACAATCGACTGCCTGGCCAAAAGTGCACTATACCTATACCTATACCTATATCATATACTGAATGCTATGTACTATGCACTGCACTCTGTGGCACATTAAGTAATTATACATTTGAAATACTAGATATACATAAGTACGTATTTCCCATTCATCTGTATTATAAAAAGTCGAGCATTGAGCGCGCGGTGATGCAAACGTCGCGAAGACGCGATTCAATAAGCCTAAGCCACTTCTGCAATTCTTCTGCAATGAATTGACGTGAACTTATTGGCTTAAAGAGCCACTTCGGCTCAAGAAAGTGAAATGGGAAATGGGAAACGGAACGGAATGGTACGCAATGCAGCAGAGAAGCCTTTCCTTTCCTTGCCTTGCCTTTCCGCTTTGATGTTGGTCGGAATGCCACTGGGTTACGTCGCATGTGCTTTTGCCTTAGTGTTCTTGCTACATACGTAATACCCAGGAACTGCCCCTAGGCGGCCACTTTCCACTTTCCTCCCGAACGAAGGCCTATTCTGCAGCATCTACTTTCCACCAACCCGATATTTTATTTGCAGGGCGGAAAGGAGATTCACGGGACGGATTGGGAGCATTCGCATCCGCATCCGAGGATGCCCTTGCTTTGAATACCTTTAACTAAAATCGAAACCTCTTTCGACTTTTATCTTTTGCCTTTTATTTGCATAAATGCCCAATATTCAGCGACACATACATATGTACATACACGGCTGCATGGTATGTGTATGTGTGTGGTGCGCGCACATACATGCACGCTGTGTGTTTTGTGTGCCGATTTATTCTGTTCTGGCTACTGCATACCTTTTTTGCTTGAGAACGAGCTCTAATTATTGATTTTTACTTCGCTGTATCGGCAGAGGGACATTTGTTAACGGTTCTGCGTCTTAGCTGCTGTTTTCTGTCGCTCAGGAGGGGATAAATATGTGGCTGCTACTGCTGCGACGTGCAATTATTTAATTTAGCGGCTCGGCACTTGAGAAAAAAAGAGAGCACACACAGAGGCGAGCCCTTCCACACGCACTGACATGGCCGGACAAACAAATCGATTGTTTGTTTTAATCTCGGTGCTGCGCTCCTTCTTCTCTATTGCGGATGATGTCCGAAAATTGCAATCGCGGTTCACTTATTCAAATGCAAAGACTTGGTTCGGTTTCGGTTCATTACATTACATTAAGAAAAATAACAATGACCCTTCGTTAGTGCTGGAACAAAAATCGATGTGCATTCGATACTATCGGTGATGCCAGAGCGTTGGCAGCATCTACATATGTTGAAATATTTTAATGTAATTTAAAACATTGACACATTTCACATTTTGCCCAAAATACATTCATTTAAAGCATGGACTCCTATATAAAAATGTGGTCATTAAACAATAAAAATAAATGTATGTAAAAGAGATTAAGCCAATTTGTAAAATAACGTGCATGGGGCAGAATCTGAAAATATTGGCCAAAGTAATATATATTTTTTAAATTATTTACATATGTAAGAAATCTGGTAATGGAACTCGACAAAAAATAATAAAAAGGGCGACTCCCAAATATCCCTAAATGTGTTTTTAACATAGACAACTTTTTTGAATATCTGCGTAAATATTTCCAAGACCAACCGCCCGTTTCCCTACATTTATTTTTATCACTAATCGCTTAGCAAAGACTCAAACCAAAAATACTAAAATCACTGTGATGGGTTGCACCGTATTAGAGATAACACAAACAAATGAATTTGGGTGGTGAATTCTTATTGAAAAAAACGTACAATAGTTTTTATTAACCTGTTAACAATCTCAACGTAGTATCACAAACAAAAAATATTAAAAAACTTAATACATAACCTAGGAAGCATAATAAACTTTATTAAAGATGCCGCAAAATTGTGACCTTAAATATATGTACATATAAAATATTAATAATATACAAGTAGTAAATGAACAACGTCGGGGCTTAAAATTGATTCATTACAAGACAATTTTAAATATTTTTTTTATAATATTTAAATATAATTTATTGTGCATAGTGTTTTTACAGAACACTGACAGGATTAATTTGTAGTATAGTTTTTTATAAAAATATAAAAAATAACATATTTTTTACATTACAATTATAGTTCACTTGTAGATCAAAATTAGAATACATAATATATAATATATGAAAATATAGACTTAATATAACCACGAGGACGAAGTTAAGTTCGGCATACTGCAGTTGTAATACATTTGCAGTCTCACCGAATATTACTGGCAATGTGCACTGCTCGAAAATACATATGACAGCTAAATTATAATCCTTTAATTAGTTTTAACGATATTTTGATAGCCTCCGAATATCGATATATCATCGTCTGGGACAAAAAATTCCTCAATCACCAGAGGCGCCAAAATTTATCGAAAAACAAGAACAAAAGAAAAGCCGCAAAATAGTGAAACTGTGAACAAAAAGCTTAATATCTTAATATATGGCGGTGAGTAATTGATCAGTAGTATGCAAATCGAGTGCTGCACTCGCTTAGTAAACATTCAAGCTTGATTGATTGCCAATTAGTCATAAGTACTATTCAGCTTCAGTAGATGCTAAGTCTTGTCGCCTCCTTCAACCCCTGGCTATTGCTTTCTCACTCTGGCAAGATGGAGTCGGTATCCATTTTGATTAGATGTAGAATTTCGAATTAATAAATTAAATTGTAATTTAAATGTTGTATGCACATCTAGCTTTTATGTTGGTGTTAGAGGTTTGGCCTTCGGTGAACGAAAAATTGCCACATTTGTGTATCAAACGTGCAACGTCTCTCACCGCCATCATTTTCGCCCTTTGCACTTGTCTTCTTGCAATGTCTTACAATGTTAATTTGTTGTATTTTAGTCCCCTTTAAATGTTTTTAAAGGTGATTAAAAAAAAATGTAACTTTAATTTTTACTTAAACAAATTTAAGCCGATTTCAAGGTGACAAGACTTGTTGTTTGATTCTCTAAAAATCTGCATTCAAAATTTTCATTTTAGCGTTGATCAACTTTTTGACCCATTTTCATGTTGGTTATTTCTAAGTTTCCGATGAGTTGCTCAAAGTTGACCCACAATTGGACTTCTAGTTTCCATAACTTTACCAAATTTAATCCGATTTCAAAGTGGCATACCTCTAAAGACTTGTAGTTGGATTCTCTAAAAATCTGCATTCAAAATTTTCATTTTAGCGTTGATCAACTTTTTGACCAATTTTCATGTTGGTTATTTCTAAGTTTCCGATGAGTTGCTCAAAGTTGACCCACAACTGGACTTCTAGGTTCCATAACTTTTCCAAATTTAATCCGATTTCAAAGTGGCATACCTCTAAAGACTTGTAGTTGGATTCTCTAAAAATCTGCATTCAAAATTTTCATTTTAGCGTTGATCAACTTTTTGACCAATTTTCATGTTGGTTATTTCTAAGTTTCCGATGAGTTGCTCAAAGTTGACCCACAACTGGACTTCTAGGTTCCATAACTTTTCCAAATTTAATCCGATTTCAAAGTGGCATACCTCTAAAGACTTGTATTTGGATTCTCTAAAAATCTGCATTCAAAATTTTAATTTTAGCGTTGATCAACTTTTTGACCCATTTTCATGTTGGTTATTTCTAAGTTTCCGATGAGTTGCTCAAAGTTGACCCACAATTGGACTTCTAGGTTCCATAACTTTACCAAATTTAATCCGATTTCAAAGTGGCATACCTCTAAAGACTTGTATTTGGATTGTCTAAAAATCTGCATTCAAAATTTTCATTTTAGCGTTGATCAACTTTTTGACCCATTTTCATGTTGGTTATTTCTAAGTTTCCGATGAGTTGCTCAAAGTTGACCCACAATTGGACTTCTAGTTTCCATAACTTTACCAAATTTAGTCCGATTTCAAAGTGGCATACCTCTAAAGACTTGTAGTTGGATTCTCTAAAAATCTGCATTCAAAATTTTCATTTTAGCGTTGATCAACTTTTTGACCCATTTTCATGTTGGTTATTTCTAAGTTTCCGATGAGTTGCTCAAAGTTGACCCACAACTGGACTTCTAGGTTCCATAACTTTTCCAAATTTAATCCGATTTCAAAGTGGCATACCTCTAAAGACTTGTAGTTGGATTCTCTAAAAATCTGCATTCAAAATTTTCATTTTAGCGTTGATCAACTTTTTGACCAATTTTCATGTTAGTTATCTGCGAGTTTCCGAGGAGTTGTAAAAAGGTGACCCACAATCGGACTTCCAGAGTCCATAACTTTATCAAATTTAATCCGATTTTAAAGTGGCATACCTCTAAAGACTTGTGGTTTGATTCTCTAAAAAACTGCATTCAAATTTGTCAATTTAGCGTTGATCAAAATTTTGAACCATTTTCATGTTAGTTATTTTTAAGTTTCCGATGACTTTTAGTAATGTTACTCACAATTGGACTTCTATGGTCCAACCACTATGTTTAAAGTGGGTGTCAAGCGGGTCACGCCCCATTCTCTTTCACCAATATCTACCAAATACCCACTCCGCTACGGTTTCCTGACCTTCTGAACCGTTGAGTCATGAGACTTTTCCATTGAAACTTCTGGCAATGCAATTCTGTTTGGACCTTGGCAGACAGCAGGTCGACACTTGGCCATAGGGGACAGGGAGTGGTTGAAATTGGTAATCGCGAACCCCGAAGACATTTCCCATTTATCACAATCGCACTTGTGTTTTTGTTTGCCGGTTCGTTGGCATAATTTTTCACTTAACGCACGACTATAAATACCCAATGCTGCAACACATGTAAAACTATATCTAAATTCATATACAAATACACTTGCTTGTGTCACTGTGATTGTTGATAGTTAGCTCAAAGATAATGCGTTCGCTGGTTGTTTATGGCCGATATTTAATATGAGTAAATTAATTGATCGGAGGTATCTGGACTCTTAAATCTGTATCGTTAGCCAGTTCTCGACTCGGATATATAAATTGCCTTACGTGGCGATGGTTTTAACAAACGTTATCCAACTCGATTCGAGGACTCTTGAAGCAGCAATTTGATTTATCGTTACAATCCCACAAAGGGATACAAATTTCGGAAGGACTGAACCAATTAATTTAGACTAACGGACAACATTTCTCAGTAGAAATTAAGTTTGGTGACCCAAACACTTAATATTCAGTTTTCAAAACGGTGACATAATGAAGATAGTTTTTTAAATTGTGTTTAAATCATCCCACAAATTGTGGGTTCAGTGCACATGACTCCCGTGGAGGCGGTGACCCAATCTATGACACACGCTGCAGCGAGAAGGATTTTGTGCGCTGTTTTTCGTTTTTTTATTACTGTTATGACATTCAATAAGCAATTAGGCATTAATCACTGCCGGGGGCAGCATTAATCACCCGAACAGCGGCTCAAACCCAAGCTCGATCGCAGCTCGGAGCGCCGAAAGAGAGCCTTCAACTTATGCATATTAGCGGAGAGCTAGAGCGCCGGGCAACTGGAGAATTGGAGGAGTGGAGCTACAGGGGGTTCCTATCCACGAATAGTTGGCGACACACAGCAGGCCGATAGAGACAGAATCCCTCTTGCAAGACATGATGTCACCATCTGTTTATAACTCGCCGGTCAGCGATGCAGATCAGATCTGAAATCAGTAGTGTTGGGGAGAGGCGGATCGGATCGGAGTGAATCGGGCAGAACAGATTGTCCCACGCCCACGCGGGACACGCGCCAAGAACAAACTCACTCGAATAAAAACAATTATCTTCAAGGGTCGACGTTTGACGTACCCAGTAGTCTGTAAAATGTGTTTTCTTATTATATACTATGGACTACAAAAACTATGTAAAAACCCAAAAATATCTTGAAATCAAAGAAGAGTTGAGGGTAATGCAAACTTCTGTCAAGACCTGATGAATTTTAAGATCACAAGTCTAAAACGGGTACATTTTTAGAGGCATTGAAGGCAGGTGGCAAGTCAGGTTGATTCAGAGATTGTGCCCCCGGGCAGAATGACGTCGGGTAGTGGCAAGATCGATGAGCGATCGCACAGACTGATAGACCAAAGGCGAAACCCAGATAGTTGGATATTAAACTTGGATTTTATTGTAATTCTTTAAGAGTGTGATCGGTTGTGGTCGGATGGGAGATGGCTTACAGAGACAGTTAGAGATACAGATATTGATGGGCATACAGCGAGCGTTAGAGATACGGGTACGGCTACGAAGTAACATGGAACACACTGGATAGGATAACCTGGGGGATGAGGGTTAACATTATCGTTTAACAGTTAGACATAGATTTGATTGGGCTTCGTTGCCGTTTTGCTGTTGTTCCTCTCACTTGGCTTTCACATTGTTAGTCGGCTAGATTTATTTCCCGTATAGTTTTGCTCTGGTCAAAATAACACAAATAACATCTGGACCTGGACTCTTTCAACATATTCGACATTTTCTTATTATTTCTTACGTTTGTTTTAGCACAGTTTGTGGGAGTTTTCTTTGTTTGTTGCTTGCGGTTTGTGGACATACACACATATATAGATCTTTAACTTGATCAATATCTTTAGCAATATACATGAATATATATATCTAGAACTCTATAATTAAATGAGACTTTCTGTCTGGGCTTAGTTAGGTTTTCAATGGATTTTGTGGTCCGTTTCTGCCTGCAGCTAAGTTCGGTTTGCGATTCACTTTTTGAGATGATGGTTCATCGTTGATCGTTAATCGTTCCAGGTACTTTCGTAGCGCATGTTGTGTTTAAGTTCTTTGTTTTCGTTAAACAAACGTTGTGTTGCCTACAACTAAAAGCTAAAAATGATGCGTCCGGGTTCAGGTTAAGGTCAGAGGTCAGAGGTTGAAATGTAAAAATGTGAAAATGCAGATGCGCCACTAACGAATGGATGAGTCCTGCGTGGATGAGAGCGATGGAGGCTTTCCGATGATGTTGATCTACTTTTATGATGTTCTATTAATAAGATATCTCCGCCCTTTAGCTGCAGGCAAAATCGAACCCACAAAGCCAATACTTAAACTCAAACGTGACTCCTTAAGGTCATATTTTGTGTAGAGAATATATATATATTAGAGAATATTAATCGAAAACAAACAAACAAATCGAGAAATAATACAAAAATAAACGAAATTTACAAGCGAAGACTTTCCTTTCGTCCCCCGATTGGTTTTTGGGGGTTAACATAATGGACTTGATTGCATTTTGCCATTTACAATTAGGGCTTACAGGTAACATTTATGGTTACGAATTACATTTAACATCGAATGTGGCAACCCTGGTAGCTTCTTCACTCGCCTGACCTGAGTGGTTGAAACTTGTTTAAGTTTTTCGTTTTTGTTAATTTTTTTGAGTTTTTTTTTTTGGTTGGAAGCTAAACGTAATATCAATTGTCGGCGAGTGAAGTCCTTACCATAAAATCCTTAAGGGTTACTTTTTTGCGTGTGCAAGGGTTTTGTGTGTGTGTGTGTGTGTGTGTGTGTGTGTGAGGTAAACTTCGCTTAAGGTATGGTCAATACAATTTTTGATTTCAAGTGAAAAGGCTTCTTTCTGGTTACAATGCTTAACAATCATATTGGGGATTTTGGGGTAACATAACATTATGGTAGACTTGGTTCAACTAGAGAGAAATGTGGTGCTCAAGAATCTTGAAGAGCTCATCGGGTTCGTTTACATGTACATGGGTGTTATAAATAGTTGGTATTCCGTATTTTAAATAGATTTTATTCATTGATTATCGTTTTTCGGTATCGTTGGCTAATTCTTTAGTACAAATCGAGGCGTTTGCGATAACGAAACAATTTCAAAGCACTTGTTGTGAAGGAATTTGTATTTGTTTTGATTTTCATTTGGGTTTGATGTTCCTTAGGCCACTTTTTGGTGTTCACAGCTGTTTGTACACACACTTTTGTATATATATAATTCTTATATCCGTGTATAGGTATCTATATATATATAAAACCTCTGATTCAAATCGTTAATAAAGCAATAGACACACACAAATATATATGTTTTGCTTTGTTTTAGTACACACTTGTATATATATTCTTCAACTTCTACCATATGTATATAATATAAATTACAAAAGTTTTTCTTCGTTAAACTGTAATAAGGCGCAAGTTATAAGGAGTTTGCAAAGTTTAAATTTTAACAGCACTTTAAGGTTTCGATTCCACCAATTCATACATCATACATTTTTCTTTTCATTTTTACATATCTTGTATATATATACACATATAAATTATTTAATTATTTTGTTGTTCTTGTATATGTAGATTAGTTTTGAAAAAGAGTTAATTGTAATTTAGTTTTCAATTGAAAGTTATTTTTTTGTCGTTTTAATTTTTGATAAAGGCAACAGCTTACACAATTTTTCGGTCATCGTTAAACATAGCTTACAAAGTACGGACACAAAAAAAAAAAAACAAAAATGCATACATGTATTTTGTTTAAATAGTATTTATATAGGGTTTATCACTGACTATGCCTAGGTTTTAGAAAAAAATATCAAACGTCATTATATATCGCATGGGCTTCCCATTTCTTCTGCTGCTTTTGAAATCTTAACATGAATTTCCATCCTTTCTAATCTCTACCGATTGTTTACACATATATAAGCATAGTTAATATAATTTTTGAGGCTTCGTTGGGAGCAAAGAGCAAACAAAAATACGATTGGAAAAAGAGTTGAACAAATTAAAATTAATAATTACTGATGCGGATGTGACTGCTCGCAGTTGATCACTGCTCTACTTTTCTCGATTTTCCGTTTCTTCTTGACTTTTCGCATGCTTGCAATGGAATGTTATCGATATACCTAGTTATCGTATCAAAAGTTTGGTTATGTACAGTTGTGCAAGTGCTACTTCTCGCTGCGCGTGTGTTTGTGTGCTCTGATTCTTCTGCCTTTTTGTCCATCATCCTACGTTCTTTACTCGTTACTTCTTAAAACTCTTTAATGATAGTTACTTGTTAATTGTTTCTGCTTCTTGCTTCATGAGGTAGTCAAGCCACAGGCTGGATGCCGCTCCAGGCGGACTTGGGATCAAAGGATCAGGGTTTTTTATTGGGCGAGGATGGTCTGGGGTTGGGGATGATATTCGAGTGGTCCTTGAATGGATCGTGGGCTCGGGTCCCACTGCTATTGGAAGAACTTGGATTCCGGGGGTTTTTAATATAAATGAACATTTTCTTTTTTAAAATTGTAAGCTAGATTTTCAAAATATTAATGAAATCGTTTTAGTAAGTGCAAAAGAATACGAAAATCTGAACCAAACGGTAAATGTAAAATATGATGAAATAAAAATAATTTGGACTGTTTGAAAATACATTTTCGAACATATCCAGTATTAAGTAGAAATGTTTTAGAGCTTTGGGTAAAGTATTGAAGGCATACATTTGGACCGGATTGGATGGGAACTTGGTTATGGGGGTTTAGGGGACTGCGGCTTCTTCAGCTTCTTGTTCTGTTCTCCTGCTTTTACTTTCGCTTAGTCAATGAGTGGCGGTTAAGATTAACATTAGTATGGGGATGATGGTCTAGCACCAGTAGTCTACATGGGCCCAGGCCGGATCCTGCTCCTCTCCGAGTTGCAGCTCCATTTCGAGTTCGAGTTCCACCTGCCGATCAAGTTGTGGACTAGCTGGTGGATCCTCTTTCTCCAAAGGATCTTGCTGTTGCTGCTGATGTTGCTCCTGTTGCTGATGACCGCTGGACTGGTCGAAGGCCAGGAGCAGCAGGTCGCGGTCTCGATCCCGCTCCCTGTCCGGCGCCCTTCCTCACGCCAGGCAACTGCCGTTGCTCATAAAGGCGGTGGCCGTGTCCAAGTCCACATACTCCCCGCCGTCCTCTACGAACTGGGAAAGCAGATCGGTCGAAAAGCAGCCGTTCTTCAGCAGCACCAGTTCTTCGGCAGCATCGTAGGGCGTCACTCCCACACCAACGCCCACTCCAACACCAATGTTGCCGTGCTGCAGGCCCTGGTGGAAGTCCATGAGGTGGTTGTTGTTATTATTATTATGCCCGGTGTTCCCATTCGTGTGCACCACGCTGGCCATGTTGATGCCATTGATGCCCCCGCAAGGCGAGGGCAAAACACAGGCGTGCTTGATGTCCGGGAATCCATCGCTGGGCTCAAACAGGAACCTCTCTGCACTTAATGCGGTGGTATAGGGACTCTGCGAATCCACAAGCTCGTTCTTCACAAACTCAATGGCGCTGCTGGTGGCGTTGGTGGGCGTTGTACTGGTGTTTCTTGAGGCATTACTGCTGCTGATGTTGCTGGCGTTGCAGCTGACGTTGCTGCTCATGTTGCTGCTGGTGTTGCTGCTGCTGTTGTGGCTCGGATTATTGCTGCTGCTCAGGCCATCGCAGTTGGGCACGTAGTCGGACATCAGGCTGGGACTGGGATTGACCTGTTGCTGCTCCACGACGCTGTTGCCGGCGGGATTTAGGGCCTGCTGGTAGCCGGCGTGCTCCAACTCCTGGGCGCTGGGCGAGGGCTTGCAGTAGCCAGTGGGCAGTTGCTGGGCCATGGCCGCCGCTGTTTTGGAGCTGAACTTGAAGGTTGCCATAGAGGGTATGCTCTGCAGCCGCTGGTTGTTGCCGGAATTGGCCACCTCACTGCTCACCGTGTCCAGGTCCAGTTCGCTGAGATATTTCTGGGCCGGCGATTGGAGTAGTTGGTTGGGCAATTGGCAGCTTTCGGCTCGCTGGCAACAGTGCGATTGCAGCATGTCCAACAGCTTTCGGCGTTCGGTTTCCAGCAGGCGCACTTGGTTCTTAAGCTCAACATTCTGGGTGTCCAGGAACTCCGACTCCTTGATCAGATTCTGGGTCCGTTCGCGCTTCTTCATCCGGCACTTGGTGGCGGCGATCTTGTTCCGCTCGCGACGCCTCCGCCGGCGGTCCTCGTCCTCGGGTGTCAGCCCCTTGGGCTGCGATTTGGTCTCGCTATCCTCGTCGCTCGACTCCTCGCAGTCGTCGTCCAAGTCGTTCGCGTTGCTCATGTTGCCGCTGTAGTTGTTGCTGCTGCCGCTGTGCCCGTTGTGGGTGCTGCTGCGCCGCGAGTACTTGGAATGCGGCTGCTCCGATCCGGAGCTGGAGTCGCAGGTGGAGAGCTTGCGCTTGCTCTGGATGGAGAGTTTCAGGCCCTCCTTGATCAGGCGAGAGCAGGTCTGCAAAGGCAGGAAATAAGAGGAAAGCGGGCGGTTAGAGGGATTTATCTACTTGATTTAAGAATTTAAGCATTTATGTTACTACTTATTTTTTGTTTTACAAATTCTTGTACTTTTGTTTTTAGTCTGTGAACATCCATAGCGAACTTGTTAACCCGAAAAGTGGCTTGTAACCAATTACCAAGTAGTTGCCACAGAAGCTCTCCAAAGAAGGCAGTCCAAGTTGCTCAAGACAGGCAGACAAAATCGGATTCGGATCTTAACTCGCTGACATTACGAACAGATTTTGAGCACTAGATCGGTGGTGGCTTTGGTTTGAGTCTTGAGTTTATCAATATAAATTTTTTCGATATACGTCCTAAAAAGTATAACTATTTGTATTACTTTTAATGAGCTTTTGTTTTGCAATACGGGATCTTCGATCTAAACTAAATTAAACTTCAACTCCGCCATCCGAAATATGACACTAATCTTATCTGGGGGTCTGGAATCTGCAATAATCTTTTATCACCTGGTCAGTTTTCCCTGTGAAAAGGTGAGAAGTTGGGAAGTGAGAGCTCGACACAGTTTCTCAAGAGTTGGACGACCTTCGGGGGCAGGTAGGTATAGATATGACGAATCGCGGACGAATTTCTTGGGACAAGACGAGGAGTAGATTATCTCCAGCGGCATTCGCGGCTGTTTGTTTGTTTATTTGCCCGGTGATTTACTCCATCTACCTTGATTACGCTTTGGCGTAGGGCTTGGCACCTGGATCTGGGCTTGGGCACACTCGATTGGTACATGAATTATAAATATTAAAGCGATCAGATAAAATCTGCGACGGTCGCCACGCCCAAAAAATCTCCACTCTCTCTGCCCCGACAAGTGCATGCGGCGCTTGATGAAATCCGCGAGATCGGTGGGTGGGCAGCCCAAAAACACAAGTAACCTCGATAGCCTGCACTGGGCCATTTCCATTTATGGAGCTCAAAACCCGAGACCGCGACAGATGGTCATCACACTGTAAACTTTCGTTCAACGCTCACTGATTGACTTCACTCTGCAGACTGCAGACTGCAGTCTGCATTAAGCTGCATAAGTTAATGAAATGCCCTAAGTGGACTCAAAATGGTCACTAAAAGTGGTTTCACTATTGAAAATCAATTACAAGCAGGTCTTTAAAATAAAGGCCAGACTGCATTGTAAAGGGAGTTGGTACAAAATCAAATTTAAATCACAACCAATAACCAATTATGTGCTAATATATTTGCTAAAAAATAAGGTCAATAAGGAGTCTAAGTTTTCATTTAAATGAGATTTTTAAAGTTTTAAAAATGTTACAATTTTCAAGCTATCGAAAAATGATTATATATTGCTGAACTGATCTTCATATATACATTTATAATATACTTCAGTGCTATACATTTTCTCGATTTATTAAATCCATTAATGGGGCTGTCAAAACTGTGCCTTCAATTAGTCCTTTTAATTCGCAGCTCATTGAAATGTCGACCAGACCGACGGTCTTTTTTTGTCCCTTGTTGTTGCAGTTTTTTTTGCGGATTTTGTTTGTTTTCGAGAAATTGTTCGGATGCCACTGATTGAACGCGCCCTTTTTTTCAATTTTGCCTTTGCGCTTCTGTTAATTTTTTGGGCATCAGGTTCCATTTGAATTTTAGGCACGCTACGCTTTATTTATTGACCCAGAAATCAGATAAATAAATTTTGTGTTTGAAAAGCGACAAGTAAAGAATGCCGAAATCCAAACAACAAAAAAACCAAATCATAATAATCGCATGCGCCGTATTCCCCCAAAAAATCCAAGTCGCTGGCAAATCGGAGCCGATACATGACCATATGGTCAGCGTCGCCTCGAAAAGTCGGGCAAAAGTCTGGTGGAAAATTGTGAAACTGCGTCGGGGGAAATGGTGCTGGAGATGATGTGAATGGAAATGGGAACGGACGGTTCATGTTGCGGCTTCGGCCAAAGTGTCTGTATCTTTGTATCTGTATTTTCGTATCTTTGTTTCTATATTTGGCTGACTTTGCGGAACGGCCGAGCCTTTCTTTGCACTTCGCATCGCTGCAACTTTAGTCGTAAAATTCGCCCGAAAACGTATTAAAGAGCCAATTTTTGGGCTGGCAAATTTGCATTTTGTTTGGCTTATTTGCACTTTTGCACATTTTTCACTCGTTTTGTTTGCCGTTCTTATAATTTCTCCTTATTTTACATTCTCCCCTCCCCATTCAATTTGCGTTCTTTCGTTTTCGGCAACATTTGTGCAAATATTTGGCGTGCAAAGAAAGAAGCACAGGGCAGGAAACCTTTGGACGAATCCGGGTACGATTTTCAGGGTTCAACTAGGGGTCAAATTACCTGCTAAATTCATTCTTAAATCACAATGAATCAAACTTCGCTCTTATACAATTGGTAATAAACCGCCAACACTGTTAGCCAGACTTTTATGTCATAGTAAAAATTAAAATGAATATAATTATAATAAAATTTGAGTAAAGACTTTAAAACCTTTAAGCTTTTTTTTCGTAAGCGAAAATCAATTCATTAAGTTGGAAAGAAAAAAAACACAATTTTGGCAACATTGAAACGTGTCTGCTTATTTTGTTTATATGTTTTTTCTAATGATTGATCTCTCTTGTCTTAATGATTAACTGATATTTCGTAAAAAGCTGCGTAAACCTAATGGCGTTTGTTTTCTAAATTTAAGAAAGTTATTTCCGAAAATGTAGTTCTAAATATCCCATAACTTGATCTGCGTACACATAGAAAGTCTCAAGTCTCTAGATTTTTGACGAAATGGAAACTGACGACCGTAGAACTGGAGTCCTCATTAAGTACACTTACAATTTAGTCGCTTAAATTTATTTTACTTATTCGTATTTCACCGACTCATGCACTTGCAGTTTTAATCTGGCTTCAATCTGGTCGCTTCAATTTGGCAAGTTTCATTCATTCATTTATTCGATGACTGTTTCGCCCACGCAGCACACGCCGCCGTGCAAAATCGACCCACGCACTCTCCACTGACCATTGGTCTGTCCGTCTGTCTGTATGTACATTTGTCCGTAAGTCTGTCCGCCCGCAAGTCTGACCGTCTGTCCGTCCGTCCGCCTGTCACCGACGTGAGTTTCGTGGGCGTCAATTGGGAGACGCGGCGAGAATTGATTTCACTTTTGCGGTACTGCGTTCGAGTATCTGCATCTGCATCCGAATCCGAGTCTAAATCGGGCTCTGAAATGGTGTGCGGTGGGGAGAATCACTCTTGACTGGTTGGCTGACTGACATTGGCCTTAATGAGGCACGTAACTACAGCTGCCGGTGGTGTCAACTTCAGCGATTAATTCCACATACGAGCGAGCTGCAGCCGATCTCTGTGTTCTGGGTTGTGCAACGAACGCATCCCTAGTAATCCCCCGCTCCCAGTAATAATTGGCAGGTGTCTATGTGTACCCGGTCTCTCTATCCGTGTGTGTGCAAATGTGATTTACGATTATTACTTGAAACTAATTTATTGGCGTTGGGTCGGCGTAGCTTTTAATTGCACCAAGTAGAGAGAGGGTCATCATATTTTGTTTTTCAACAAATTTCTCGTAAACTAAACCCGGTGCATTTTTCCCTTCTACTTTGGTGGATGACCAGCACCATTAAAGCGTAGTTAAGTGAAAAAGGTTGAGATATTTTAAAAACACACAAAAGTTGGAATAAACTGACATTATAGCTAGCTAGTACTGGTGAATTGCTTCAAAGGAAAACCGATTTAAGCCCATCATTACTTAAGCTCTCGCAGTCTATGATTGGATTAGGGATTAGGGACTCCAATTACCTGTTGGACACTGGGCGTGGTGGCCGTGCCCGCTGGCGATTCGAGCGGCGATCCGGAGCAACTGGAATGACTGCTGTCCTGCGAGTGCGACTGCAAAAAAATAAGTATACGGACATTGAGTATACGCCGCATGGTACATCCACCTGGGTATAAAGTCTCACCTGCCCGTTGGGATGTCCGTTGAAGTGGCGTACGGAGACCACCGGCGTGGAGGCGGCACTGCAAGAAGCCGACGAGACGGCGGATGCAGAAAGGCGACCGAAAGGGAAGTTGTCCAGCGGATTGGTCATGGCAATCAGCGAGTTCAGGATCTCGGGTGTCTTGGGTGTGTGGCCGCCCATCAGGAGGCCGTTGCCGTCGACGCTGAGCAGCGAAGAGGCCGGTATGTTGGAGTTGAACATGGCTGACTAAGCGGCTAGCAGTTGCACACACGGGAAATTAAACAAAAACTAAGGCGAACTAAAGTTAAACGTAACGAACTGGCTCTATCTTAAGGTGTTTTCTTTTCTTTTGTTATGTATTTTTAAATCACAGATGAAGGCCTTCGCGTTGCATTGGTTGGTTGGTTGTACTACCCAACAAGTTTTCTTCTATATCTTTTCCTTTTCTATATATATTTTATTCAGAGAGGGTTTTCTGGAGGCACACACTTGGGCTTAACTCTTGCGCTTATCACAAGTTCAACTCCCTTTGTAAACTCTTGAGTTTTTCTTTCGGTTTATTCGGGTTCTTTAGGGGCAGGAGGAGTATGGCCGGTCCATTGGTTCCATCGGTGCAGATCCCCGACTTTTGTTGTTGCTCAGAGCGCAAAGGCCGAGCGAATGCGTTGAACGTCAAAAAGCCGGCACCTCACTTCACATCGGCAGCGAATCTGCAAAATTCACAGAGACAAAACAGAAAAAGAGAGTGAGAAGAGCGCCAGATATGCACTTAGATATATAGATATAAAGATATTTAGAGGGGGAGAATGAGAGAAAGAAACGGAGAGACTTACGAACGTAAGTGCACCATGTCACCGTAAACAAAGGCAATTAAATTATAAAATAAACTCGGCTAAATTGATTTATGTAAGTCTTGGCGGCTTGGAGACTCTCGTGCTCGTGTCACGTGATCTAGCTTACAAATCAAGACATCGTGCCCAATCACGCACGGAGGAAAACCCCACCGACCCTCTCGCACATATTCAACGTGCTTCAATTAAGCCATTCATGGCTAATTAAGACCGGGCACACTTTTCATACAGCGCTAAAAATCGGGTGGGAGGGTGTCAATATTTGCAACTATAGATGCAATATATGAAGGGGCTTTCTCAAGAGGGTTTTTCAGGGAGCGCAAAACATTAATAACATTAATAACGGGTTCTGCGAGGTGAAGGTGAGCAGAAGGAGAAAATGCAACGAAATTCCTCCGCGGCAATTGAAACGGAATTGAAATGCAATTGAAGGCAATCATCCATGAATTCGCTTGACTCCCGAGAACCCCTAAAAAATGAATGGAAAGGGGGAAGACTGCGACGCGGGGCTGGACATACCGATAAATGTGTGGGGTTTTACAATCTAAAATTTGAATTGAAGCATTACTGGAAGCCATTTGAAATTGAAATTAGTTATTTAAATGTTATAAGCGCAGATAAATAAGGTATCTTTACCAATTTTTAGTAAATTAGAATTGCTCAAAAAAGCTTAACATAAATATGAAAGTACATTTGGGAGTGTTCAAATTTAATTTTTAAATTAAAATCAAATTAAAGGCCAAGATAATTTTAATTGAAATGCTGGCCAAATATTAAAATTGAGTAGAGAACATTAAATAATGAGTTTGATCACACGGTATTTCCCAGTTTATCATTCTCTTTTCTGCCCCAAACTCCACTTCACTTAAATGGAATTTTTTTAGAGCTGTTTCCCCCGAAGTTTTGTGGCATTTTGAAGATTAACTATCTGACAAGGGGCAAGGGATGGTTAATGTGGTGGTGGTGCGAAAGGGGGTGGGTCAGTGGCATGGGAGGGGAAGGGGAAGGGGCATGAGGGAACTAGTGGACGGGCGCAATTTCCCTCAAAATGCAAATTGAGCCTGTCAGACTTCAAAAGCCGAAAAACAGAACACAAAAATCTTATTTCGGTTTTGTTCGCGATTTCTGCTGCTGTTGCCTTTTGGCCATTTATCATATGGCCAGAAGCGTTTGCACTTGTGGTGGTGAGTGTGCTCATGTGTGTTGTATGACATGCTCTATAAGTTTTAGAGCCCCCAACCCCCATCACCCCTTTTTCGCCGACCCGTTTCAAACCGAAAGTCAGTGAGTAGCGAACAGCAAAACGAAGGCAGAATAAAGAATTATGATTTATGACTTTCGCATGTTTCTTTTTTGGGGGGCTTGGGGTATGTTGTTTTGTTTGTGAGAGCTTTTAATGCCTTGCTGCCTTTGAAGAGGCTCTTTCCTCCGTTTCCACTGCAACAAAAGTCACTTTTGACATTCGCCTCGCACAAATCGCGCACCACATCGCTTTTAGCCTGGCTCTTGTTTTTCACTTGGAGCCCGGCTTTGATGCCAAAGCTTATTTTGACCAAATGCGGCGAACGTCAACGTCAAAATACGCATGCGTGGCCTCCCCGAGAGAACATTTGGGGTCAGGGCAGCCCAAAGCCAATTGAAAACTTCAACTCTCAAAAGAGAGCTGTTTCCCAAAAAGGATGGCAAAAAGTAAATTTGACAATGAACTTTAATATTATCTTTATCCATTCATTTAGTATTTAACTACTCGAAATCCCCTATTGTTCGACCTTTTTTGTGGCTTAGTGCTATCTTACTAATGAGTTATCTTTTGGTAATGTCGCCCATAAAATATGTATAATTAAAGCCTCCAATACGATCTTAGGTTGCCCATGTTCAGCTGGCTCAAGATTGCGCATACGTCGTGTTGATCGGTCCAGCACTTTTTAAACTCACTAACTTTGACAAACACCCAGAAGGATTTATCAGCACCTCTCCCCGGTTGCTTTTAGTAGCACTTGCCACATTGACATTCCTCAGTTGTTTCACTGCTACTTGAAAATAAAGCCATTTGCGGCTGATTTGTGGCTGGCATGTGAATTGTTCACAAGTGTGCGAGTTTTTGCTGCCGGTCGAACCGATTGATGGCCACCAGATCGAACAGATTGAACAGCAAATGGCAAAAAGAGAGACAGAGAACAGAAGCTTGCGCAACGATCGATGAAGATATATGGAAACATCGTGTGGAGATCGGATCACTGCGGTGTCCCACCACCATCATGAATATGTGATAGAGCGGTGCTTGCGAAAAAAATGCCACAAAATTCCTGTCACTATTTAACTAATCAGTGCGTACTCAAGAATTTATCGATCGGGTAAAAAAAAATTCCTTATTTTATAACACTAATAAATAGTATTGTAAGCATAAGCATAAATTATATAAGTGCACTACTAAACAAGTTGTTTAACAATCTAATTATATGAGCATTAAAAGTTATCGATTTAATCGGCATTTATCGTTGTGGTTTAACCTATCGATAACCTACATTTGATTCACCAGCCATATGTAGCCAAAAAGGATCGAATTATTTGCGACTAATTTAAAGTCTTATCGATTGGCATGCAGTTTGATTCATCAACCATTGTTGGGCGATGTCACAACTGATCGGTGCACGTCGCTATCCGAAATATCCCAAAAGTGTGGCCGATAGGTGACTCAGACACCATTTTGGATTCCCGTCCCATTTGCATAAGATTAATACAAATGAATGAATTGCGAACCGGTGCGATTGCACAACGAGCATTATAATAACAACGCTTCATAATTGCGATACATAATACTTCGATCGAGGAGCACGGACCTGCATTTATCATCGGGGCGTGCGATGTGAAAACGCTGCAAAAGTACATTAACCATTTGAGTTATAATATATGGAAAATATAAATTATGTCCGTACATCTGCAACCACGAACGTTTATCGGGGTTTGTTTGGTTTGTTTCACTACGTGCCTCGGTCGCACTCCACATTTCACACGAGCCAATAAGTTGAAGACAGGGGCAAGGGCAGCGAAAACAATGCCATGCGACTTAGAAACATGTTGACTTTTTCAATAACTTTTTACTTGGAACAGATCAATTGAAAATAAGGCAGAGTCGGGCCAAAAAACTTTATAAAATGTGATTTTAATGAAATTTTGGAATCATTTTGATAAAGGTCATTCAAACAAGGAGGAAAGTTTCTTACAAATGGTAGATATTTTCAAAAATAACATAAAATAAGAGAACATATCTGGAATAAAGCACCGCGATAATCCAATAATGTGCAACCAATTGAAGCATCCACAATCGGGTGTCTCAGGTTCCTTGGAATCGTACAGGGTTCTCTTCTGGTTTTCTAGTTTTCTGGTTTCCTCTGCGTCATCGGATTCCATTTTAATGTTGTGGGGGAGGATTGCTCTCCGCGTTGTAATATAATGAAAACTTTGCCAACTTTGTTGTTTCTCATCTATTTTGTGTTCTGTTTCTGGTTTCGATTTTCTTATTCATATTCCGAAATGGATTTGAGCAGAAAGTTGCTGGCCATTATGTCATGTGGGTGTTTGTGTGGCGGTATCTGTATGTGGCCATAAAAATAAACTTTCATTGTTGGAAGACAATCGCTGCTGCTGTTGTTGTTGTGCCTTCTTCTTGTTCTTTTTTTTGCTGTCTTGGTCGAGCTTAATTAAAAGCATTGCTAAGGCGAAACACAGAAAGGCCAAAGGCAAACACGCAGCGTGTGGCGGCGAGTGTACGTATCTGATAGATACGAAAAATGGTACGGTGCCATTGTCAGCTGTTTTCCAATTAAGTGCCACTGCAGCCAGGGGGCTGCAAATCTGCTCGAGAATGGCACGAAATTTACACTTTAATTAGGCATTTTGATAGTGTATCTATCTGCCTTTGATTAGTTTGCTAAAAGGTGGAGGGGTGGTGGCTTCGTAATGTGGGCAGGGGCGTCGGGGTCGGGGGTCGGGGTATACCTATAAACCCCAGTTCGGCCATTAACATAAAAGTTTTCGAATGGCCAATGGACATACAAGATTGGGAGGGGTGTATTTCTCTCCCCACCCGAAAATTGGCCGCGTGGCGATTCAATTAATTTATTATTCACTTAAGAGCGCCACGGGCAAACAAAAAGGGCAGGGGACGGTGATGGCATAAAAATGTTATAAAAATTAAGCCCACACTGGGAAGAAGTAGAATCCAACTGGCTAAGAAGTTTTCGCACATTCCAAATGCGTCCCACTGTCGTGCCAAAAACGTCCTGTTGGGGGTGGTGCAAATGGTGGGTAGATGGGTGGGTGGGTGGTTGTATGGGGGTTTGGTAGTGCACATTAACTTATGGAGAACGCGTGGCGCAAATTTTATAGTTATAAACATTTCCGTGCACGTTCCGAGCGTTAAATTTGAGAGACAAGACAGACACGCAAAAATATAAATATGAAAATTGTTCGAGAAAAGAAAAGGAACAAAACGAAACCGAAGTCGGGAGTACCCTGAGAATTCGGAATTTAAGAGTTATAGATAGCACTTCATGCTTAAAATACTATATTATTACACCTAAAAACTACATAATTATTAAAATTTTTTGGAAAAACTTGTATAGTACTTGAGTGATTTGTCAACAAATCCATCCTAAAACTGGTCATAGTTCCTGATGAAGAGTTCTACACTTATGTTTATATTTATGCCCCATAAGCATATACTCGCATAGCCATCGAGGGTATGGCAGGCCATAAAACTCAAACTGTCAGCAGCGGAGAGAATGAAATGCCTTGAAAATGGAAAATTATGGAAATGAATTGGTTGACAGAAGGATTTGAAGAAGGGAAGCTGGAGCTGCTCAAAAACGCAAATGAACGGGGGTAAGAAACCTTACAAACTCGGGGTGGAATTGGAGTAATGGCACACAAAAACTTGGATGCACAGTATAAGTTTATCGCTTGGAATGCGGATTGTGTAATCGCGAATGGGAACTTGCCGTATATGTGTATCTTGTGCATCCACCTGCAGACGACTGTTCCGTGTATCAGAGGCATCGTTAGTCACTGGCCTCTAGATAAGCGAAAGAAAAACGAATTGTTTGCGTCCAGGGGAAATACGATTTTACGCGGTGTGCGTGCAAGGACGTTTGCAATCGGAACATTCATTAAACTTTGTGTTTTTTATCAGGCTTATCAGAACGCTGCGTGTCAACTACGTCTTATCGGTGGAAAACACGGGCGAATCTTATCTGCAGGCTGTGTTGCTGCTACCCTCTTCACTCGCTTTTCTCCGGCTCTCTTGTTCTCCTGTTCGATTTGGCGGAATCTAATTAATTTCCAGAGCTAATTCCCTTTGTGACATCGTAGCGATTTATGCTGATTAAGGTGACATTATCGCCGCTGCTCGCCGTTTGCGTGTTCTTTTATTTATTGTTATTTATGGCCACTCTTAGCTCTCTTTGTGTGTAGAATTTTATCAGAAAGCGCGTTTACTTTGTTTGCTGTGTGGTTTTTCGGTGTCTTTTCGTCTCTAAAGTCATTAAGAGCACTTTTCGCACCTCGAAATGGCCGTAAAAAATATGTATTCATAACATTTGTACTAGTATGTATCTGCCAGATGCTCTCGGCCATGCGACAGCTGTCAGTGCGAAAGCAAAAGATCTCTGCCACGGAATTTTCATCATCATAGCAGCGATCATCGTCGTCAACTTGCTGATTTTCATGGAGGAATTCGCATTTAAAGTCTTTATTGTGTTTACTTATTGCGAACGGGAATTGAGAACGACCAAAATGGAAACTCAGATATACAAATATTCAAACAGCTGCAAAGAAGATCTAATAGAAAATTCTGTGCTGGCGACGCTGTAAATACAAAAGACACAGGCGTCCGACAAGGGGATGGCGGAGGGGGCAGTTCGTGGCCAATTCTTGGACTGCAACAGCGGTCAGCTGTTGGGAGTTCGGGGAAATCCCCAGATCGGAGTATAAACAGCATGCAATTCATTTCTTTGTGCATTACGGGGAAATAGCAAATTCAAATACCACTTGATTGTAGTTAATGTATTGCTACATAAATTTAAATCGTAAACCTTAACAACGAACTAAATAGACTAAATTACAATTTACCATGATTCTGTATTCAAATTTTATTTGACATATATTCATATTTGAAGTCATATTTTTTTATACTTTTCACTTTTACAATTAAGTTTTCTGATTTCTGGAATTCACGCCTAATTTCAAAGATTGCCTGAAAGCCTATTGAAAGCTATATATAGACGAACTCTTTGCTTTTCTGCCCAATGAATGGACTCGGGGAGTGCCAAAAAAAGGCAGTGAAAAGGGAATTGGCAGAATTATATGATAAGGACAGGGAAGAGCGAGCGACATCAATTAGCGGACAACGAATGTGTCCCAAATGTATTCTCTAGCCCAGCCCAAGAGGCCACGCCCAGAGCACCTAGCGTGGGGCAGCTGAAGGACAACACACACTCATCCACATTATTGGAAACCCCCACACACTCGGATGGCTGGCATGTCCTTGACACATATCCTGCCATTTACTCAGCACGCACATCCTGTTCGAGTGTGTGAGTGTGTGAGTGGGCCAGCGGTCGCCTTGCGGGGCTTCACCAAAACTTGGCCCTAATCCATTTGAACTATCCCCGTTCTCCGTTTTGTAGCCAACTCGCTCCCCTGCCTTCAAGGATAATAACACGAAGTCTCCTACTTTGTGGGCCAAGCGCAAGTTCTGCGGCTTCGGCTTCGGCTTCTTTTGGCGCATGTGAGTGTGTGTGTGTGGAGTGCCGTAATATAATCCTAATGGAATTTACACTCAAACTTTACAAAAGCAGGCAACAATAGCGAGGACACTGCGTGTCCTTTATCATTTGAGGGGCGAAGGGATAGGGATCTTCTTGCAGGAGGAAGCAACCGAAATAGTGGAAGGCAAACTGGCACAGAGTTAAAATTACATCCGAATTGGGCTTAAGCATGGAAATAAAAAACAACAACACAGGGCAATTTCAATGAAAAGTTCTTAATAAAAAGTTGAATAGAATAGAAATTGTTTTATCCAATTTCGAATATGGATTGGAAAATATAATAGTTACTCAAGTGAGATGAAAATTCAACTGATCTTATTGTTTGAAATAGGCAGCAGTTTATAAAATAGGGAATTATAATAAAATGTTAAATTAATTAAAAAAGGTTAACAAGAATTTTGTTGTTTAAAACACTTCTAACAATTAATTTTATTCCATAAACCCATAAACTAAATTGTTCAAAACTTTAAACTTGAAGCCAAGCACGAACATATTGTAACCAATTGTTGTCTCGCTTGAGTTGCTTGGGGTTTTGAATCAGATTTAAATTTGAATTTAAGATACGAAGGTTAAGTGCATTAAGGCGCAACGGAAACGAGACCAAATGTTGACCCACAGCGAAAAACAAATAGAAAAATACGAATTTTCTTATTTTTTCAATTTTTTATTTGGCTTCTCAGTAAAAAGACAAATTGATATATACTTTGAGAGAGAGGGATGCGTGTCTAGGCGTAGAAAATTGTGATTTTATTTGATTTGATTTTGAAAACAAAGCCAAGCAGTATCCTTGGACTAACTTGTTCTTAATTCTGCGTATCAGGCTGCCACAAAGCCGCGACATGGACATGTCCTTTTTCTTTTGGGTGTGTTTCACCAGGACCAGCAGTCGGCAATCCAAAGACCAGAGGTCGTTAATAGGAGCGGAAATGCTGGCGCCGACATAATCATTTAGGCCTCCACCCTCTTACGGTACAATTATGATAATTGAGTGGACAGAAATACGAAAATACGGTGCAGACAGGTTAAATTACGCTTAACTCGCCAATAAATGTGGCAGATTCCTGTCCTGGGCACTAGCTCTTTTTTTTTTTTGATTGATTTGCACGCGAATGCATCAAAAAGTGGGGTAGCCCCCACAAAACTCTACAAACGACTCGACTGTGGCGCCCAATTGTCTCGAGGTCCCCGAACCCCCTTAAATTGCCATCGTCCTTTTTCCCCATGTAATCCACGATGTTTTCCTTTTTTCGCCGCACCTAGTGACGCAAATAGTTCAGTCCACCTCCTTTTGAGAAATAAATTGATTGCGTGCTAAAAATTTGTTGTCTTTGATTGATTTTGATTCACTTGGCTGTGCGTGTCGCCAGTGCGTATGCGTAATATTTTATTTAATCTTTCTTTTTATACCCATACCTTTGCAACGCAGTTAAGAGCACATTTCCGACAAAATGTATATATTCTTGATCAGCATCACTAGGGGACTATAACTATATCAAATAGCCAATTTTTAAATTGGTTTGTATTTTTTGGTCGATTTTTCGTCCACTTGAAAAGTGGCATATTTCTAAAGGATCTTGGTTTAATTCTCAAAAAATCTGTGTTCAAATCTTGTGTTGTATCTTTGGATCGATTTTTTCGACATTTCTAAAATGTTACCCCTTTCTTAATTTTCGAAAATGGCTTTGCTGAAAAGTGGCCTAAAACCTGCACTTCTAAGTTTTCTAAAAATCTATGTTTGTATTTTTGGAAAATTTAAGCCGGATTTTAGCAGCCTGCAAATCAATAGAGAGCCATTTTTGCTCGACCTTACTTACCATTAAATGCACAAATCGCCGGGCCGAGCTGAGCTGAAATGAAGAGCAGAGAAGAGGAACTGTTAGCAGTGATTAGCGTTTATTGTACAAACACGATGTGCACGGCATGGATTTAAAGCGGTACTGAAACCGAAACTGGGTTCAGACTGAATCGCCGGGCCCATCAATAATTGCGGCTTACTGCCATCTATTATGTGTGTTTACTGTGTGTAAAGACGATTGATGGTTATTGATTAGGAAAACGACCCCCGCTCTGTCGCATGCTGGATATATGGTTTTTATTTTGTTGTAATGGATATGGACTTTAATGCGACTGTGTGGTTATATGGATATGCCATGAATCATCGCGAAAACAAAAGAGGAATCAACGCTTAAAACACAACTTGCGTAGGTAGCGCCAAATCAAGCTAAAACAAAAATTAAGTAACTCAAATAAGTTAGACGACTAAAATCGGACAAAAAATTTAAAAATGAATAGGAAAACCGATATAGTTTCGTGGGTTCTCAAAATATTCACATTTGTTGTACAACTCCAAGGTTATATGGCTTGTCGATGTTTTCATCCTTTCTTGTTATATAAGGATTTGTAATAAGGATTAAACATTTTAAAGTGTTATGAACTGCAAACAGATTATGGCTTAGGAATTCACCCATATACTCTGCTCACAAGTAAAGGGTGCGAAAAGCAAACCAAAGCTCGAAAGCAACTAAGCGGAGACCAGGCAGTCGACTGTCCATTAATTTGGCTAACATCTTGGAGGCGATTTGTTTGCTTTGTTTGGTGGCTGGCAGAAATTCTCTCTGAGATGAAACTTTGTGTTTGTTTTTGCCTTCCAAAATCGCCTTCGGAACAGCTACTTCATTTGCATCAATGGTGTGTTATTTACACTGAATATTGCATCTTATGTTTGCGCTCTTTAATGTAATTAATTTGTTTTGGTTTCGAGTCGGACAAAGGGATGGGGGACAGATATATCTGGCAACGGCCGCCGTTTCGGGATTTTAATTTTTGTTATTTTGTGCGAATTTTCGCGTTGAGTTCGCATTGAAATGTACAAAAAGCCCAATTAGGTGCAATTAACAGCAATTTTGTTGCGCTTCTGGCCAAAAAGGAGTGCGCCGAAGCGATTTTAAATGCTGTTGAAAGCCTGGTCGAAGAGAAAAGTTTAATTGAGCCTTTGGTGAACGAAAAAGTAATGCGTGAATTGAATGAGGCGTAAAGGATCATTTAGGAACGGGCTCATTAAAACAGTTTGGTATTCACGCAGAGTATTTTTTGGAGGAGGAAACCTTAATAGTGCTGATTACTTTCAACTATATGCTGATTAAGTGAACTGCTGAAAGTAACTCAATTTGTGTGTTCAAAGAAAGGGGAATTCAATTTGGAGGAGGAATATTACATGTCTCATTTAAGAAAATATAAAAATATAGAACATTTAGAATTTGAAGATATGAACTAGAGACTAAGAAAACAATCTAAATGAAAGGAAGTTCGCTCAAAGTCAGACTAAATGGTTAAAATCCTGTTTAACCTGAATTGGTTTTATATTGTTTGGAAAGTATATATTGGCAGCTTGCACAAAAGGTGAAGCAATAAATATCGGATTTTGGTGTGGAACCATTTAAACTCTAGCATTGAGTTAAGTCTGATATTGAACAAACTTTGAAACATGTGTACCCAACTCGTTTGGCATTTTTTCCCTGACCAGCAGGCTGTTAATTTGCAGTAATTGCCGGACCCAGCTGGGTGCGATCCATCAGATGGAGAACCGGGGGAAATGGGAATGTGGATGTGTTTTATGGCCTCGTCAGCGGTAATATTCAATTCAAACCCGTAATATCGAACATCAAATGGGAATCGGAATGGAAATGGAAATGGAGATGCGATGCCGTGACCTTGACTGCATCCCAAGTCGACGTTCGGGGCTCTCCTAATGAACGGATAATAAAGCTAGAGATAGAGTCTCGAAATGGAGAGCAATTTGTGTTGCTTTAATGTACATTCGGGGCAATTAACCAACAATGACAGCTGCTCCACAACACACCGACTGCTGTAGTAAAATTTCAATTTTCGGCTGCATGCTGTAGGAGCGATAGAGACGGCACGGCGGCACACATTAAAAATTATTTAATTAAGTGATTTTAATTTCGCTTATTTCGCCGTTCGCCGTTTTCTGCTTCCAACCACTTAGACGCCGATGCTGATTGTCTAATTTCATTACTGTAGGCAAAGGGGGAACTGTTTCGTTTCGGGGACTTGGAGCTCTCAAAGTAAATGAATCGATGAATGGCAGTGTGCCAGGCGAACGTTCGTTTTGACCCACTGTGCGCGCTTCATGTCAATTAGAATTTAGAATTTGACCTCTGCGCACTAGTTGCGCGGAAGGGAAGAGTCTGGGGCAGGGACCGAATCGAAATCGGTTCATTGCGTGGGACTGTCCGACATAAATCACACTTGAGTGCCGCCAACATTCGAACCTGAACAGAAATAATCGCTTAATTTGCCACCGGGCAAAGTCCACTTGAAATTGCATTTTCATTTATAATTAGCGTTCGACTGGCGCCAAAGGAAAATCGTAAAATTGTCAAAAAAAACAAGATACAGCTTAACAAAGTAACATACATATGTGTAAATATATGGATAGAGAATATTCTAATTTTTCAAATATTCAATTCGATGGGCCCTTTTTTATAAGCATAAATCATACTTTTGTATGCTTAATCTTTAAAACTTTTTTTTTATTATCGACTATCCGTTAATTAGGGTAAATGGGAAGTTTGATTTACACCTTAAGTATATGTGATTCAACCCGCACAATTATTTTTTAGTACAAATTTGCTTTTTTATTTAACTGTATAGACTGTACCATATCCGAACCCTTGGGGGGCATCACCCCTTCCCGCTACTCCCCAAATCTACCTTGATTTATCGGCCACGCCGGAGCCCACCGTCATTATCAGAAAACGGGGCGTGGCCGGGGCTTAAAGGCCCTCGACTGGACGACCTTCGTTCGGCGACTTACAAAAAGCGTTTTACACTTCGGATTTTTGTGTTTTGTTTCTGGCTGTCGTGGGCTTTTGTTTTGTCGGATTCTAATGCTTCCGGTTCCACTCCTCAAACTCAGATGTGTGCTGTAAGTTGAAGGCCTTGCCGGCGATAAGATATGGCCATAACGCGGTGGAGCTCGCATTGATTACCTGACTTGGCCTGACCAATTCGGTGAAAAAGTGCGATGGCAGTGGCGACCATTAAAAAGTCATTACAAAAGCACAGCACACATGCAAGTTGTTTTAGAGAGGGCTATTTGGGGGCAGACTACGGCAAGTACCTGGCATAATTGCAGAGGGGCATTCAAAAGGTTTGCACCGCACACGGGAAGTTTCATGCCCAAGCTGAGTTTTGGATTTCCGCTGAGAGTCGTCGACATGTCTGCCCCCCTTTTCGGGGGAACCCCCTTTATAGAGCCCCCGTGTTCCAGTGATGATCACTTAAAGGGCTTTGGATTGACTTGTACTCGTATTTGCCCATTGATAATGAACGTCAATTATCGTGTGCCTGTTTGTTTGCTTTGCCTCGGTTTCGGGCCAAACTTATTTTTTGCTTTTTTTTTCGTTCCCGGTGCCCCTTTTTTTTTGCCCGGTTTCTTAAGCCCAAGACAGCGCCAACAACTCGGAAAACCCGTGATGTACATATGTAGTAACTCGTCTAGGTCGACCGTGACTCAGTTTGGTGAACAATTTGTCAAATATTTGCCAACCTGATGCATTTTTCCCTGTCTTCCACCTCGGATAACTGTAGCTAGAAAAGAAATCGATAGATAAAAGATTTCCAACCTGGGCTAATATTAAATAAGTAATTTGCCATTGTGAATTATATTTTCTCAATACCCTTAAACAAATTAATACAAAATCGCAAAATTTCATATATTTAAAAACACACTTGAGACATATTATGGCATTAGTTGCTACTAACTACTCTAAAATGTACTGTAATTTATTTTTTCTGTCAATGTAAACATTCAAATTAATCGCCAACCACACCATAAATTGTGGATGCTTTGTGACTTCTTTGATCTTTCACCAAAAGAAACTAAATGAAATTTATTTGACACCTGAGAAGAGAATCATCAGATCACATAAGAACTAGTGGCACTTGGAAAGCCATTAAATGCCAGCGAACTATGTAAATATCCGACAATAAATTCGGCGAAACATTGGACGATCTTGGCTCGCTTTGAGCATAAATCTTGAGACATAGAATCGGTATACATATATCCAAATATCTATCCAAAGGCGGAGGGTGGAATGTAGATGCATCTCGTTGGGTGCCGCCTTTTTGTGTTGTCGCGGCTTAAATCGTCCAGCATTATTACAGTATTTGATTGATTGATTAACTTGCAGTCGGTAATTGAATTGAAAAATGACCGCCGGGCATGTGCCGTTGACGTGGGCGTGGCACTTGACGATCGGTCGTGTCGACGCAGTGTTTTTTTTTTGTTTTTGTGCTTTTGTCGTTACAACAGTTGTTGCTTCAATGTCGCCGCTTTTCAGTTGCAAATTAAAGCTGACAATGCAGCAGAAATAGATACGGCCAGAGCGTCGGAATTATGTTTAGCACTAGCTACATACATATATGTGCACATCCGATCTTGATGTGATCTATTCGTAACAAAATAGAACAATCGAATGTCCCAGAGGTGAGCTGAAAAAAAACAGCGAGTATATTCGCGAACACATCCACACACATTCAACAAAAGCCATAAAACAATCGTAAAAATGAGACAAGGGAATTGGAGAACGGGGCTCGTAGAGAGTCATACAAAGCAACCACAAATTGACAAGACAATCAGTCTAAAGTCAAATCAGTCAACGAGTTTGGAATGGTGGTAGATACATAATAAAATTGGTTTAAAACCAAAAGTTGCGTAAGGGTTTGTTTAGTACTGAGAAATGTAAATAAAAAAACATCAATAGTAACCAAAATTCATACACGATCTACAACAAAATACGTTAGCGAAGTATTCTTAAGAGTT